CTGTTTCGCAGAGAAGCATGCAGAGTATGCGCTTGCGGCTATCAAAGTAAATCATGTCAATGCAAGGGGGCTGTTTGACATGCTGCAAGCGGTGGTATGTATGAGCTTTGTCTGGTATGGCCGTGCCCTGACACGAGGGATTGTAGATCGTTCTCGTGCATTGGGGTCAATCGGTCGCTCGGTGAGATTCTTCTGAAGCGCCGTGTTTACCAAGACACTAAATGTTGGGATAGATGGATGGATTGCTGGTATCTTGTCGGCACAGCCGCCCGACTAGCCACTTGCCTCGGGCTTCTTGATAGCTGCAGCATACGACTCGACAAATCAACTCCCTACCGCCGGTCCATACTGGGCTATCCCAAAGACGATGCGGAAAAGGAAGAGAGAAAGGCGGCGATGTGGTTTTTGCTGATGTATGATGTGACGAGCTCGGCTTCGTCAGGATGGTCCGGGACGCTGCCTATGGATGAAATTGTGAGCCTCAGGTCGCAGTGTGAGAAAGTGAGGCTGATTCTGTGTAGACTACCCATTTCCCTGCGGCACGGGTAGACTTTGATAGAGGAGTGAGTACCCTTTGAACTTTGACCCACTTATAGCTGCTGATCAGTATCAGGGCGCCATTCAGGAGAATCCCCAGTCGTTCGTGTCACCCGATATCTACTTCAAGTAAGCACCCCGCCCCTCCGTCGACAAGCCACTTACTCTTCCAACAGCCATCCAGTCGTAGATAGCTTTGTGATGCTGTCAAAAGGCAACATTCTGCTAAGCAGGGTCATCAAATTTGTCAAGCGAAGTCGTGGAATGCAAGCCCATGAGCGAAGCTCAGTGGCGGACCTGCCAGAGTTTCAGCAGATTGAGAATGACCTGGGCATTCTGAGGTAAGGCCAGTCTGCCGAGTACAAGGTTCAAAGCTGACGACGTCGAGTAGTATGACCTTTCCGCCATCTCTCCGGGATCCGGTGCAATACATGCAAGGCCCTATCAAGACAATTGACGCTGATCTCATTGTGCGTCTCTCACGTCCATGCTATCAGACTTCTGATTCTTTACAGAGTGCACACTTGGTACTCCACGTCGCAGCAATCCACCTCCACGAGCCTTTCGCCGACATGCAGGACCCCACGTCTTCTTCTGCCAACAGACTCTTAGTGGAGGCGCGGGCTTGTTTGAATATCGTGTATCTGATAGTCAGTGGGACCGCGGACGTGTCGTACATGGTGGCCCCTTTTACGTCTTGTAAGTCTGCCACTCATTCTCCTGTGGAAAGTGCTGACGTTGTTTTTAGAGTGAGCAATTCAGTGCGAGAGAATTGCGATCTTTGGCTGACGATACTTGTAGTTATCTGTTTACTGCTGCCCGAACACTGGCCCTGTTCTATAACCGAGCATTGGAGACACAGGACGAGGTTTCTGCGAGGACACTCTATACTGAAATCGCGGTTTTCAAGTAAGTGCACCATTCTTTCCCCATCTGGCCTTTGCTAAGACCCGTGGCAGACATGTGTTTACCAGCCTCGCGACCCGTCACGCCGTGGGCGTCCGCCACCTCACCATGATTGATACTATGACCGCCAGCATGGAAGAAGAAGCTCTGGGCCGTCCCGTGGTCAATGGCGATCTATCCGGCCTCGGAGCTCAGGCTTCGCGCATTCATTCCAACTCGACCCCCTTCTCGTCTCGCTCCAACAACTCGTTCCACACTGCCAGTCAATCCACAACCCCAGAAGTATCCTTCCTCGCAGAGAACCACCCTGATGCTCTGATGATCAATGATCTCAGAAGCAAGTCGTTGTTCCACTGGTCTTCGAGCGTTAGTGGCAGGCTCCAAGACTACCTCGATCAAAGGAGAGGGTATTTGAAGAGTTCTCCAAGCACCAGTGATAGTATACCCGATGTGGGTAGTAGCAAGGGACAGGGTGAGGGACCTGCGCACGTTGATCCACTGGGTTGGATGGATTTGAAGAGTATAGGGAAGCTGGGAGATCCGCTCCCGACTTCGGCATTGTTTACGCCATAGATTTGAAGTATCGTGTATAGACGTCGACACAATATATACTGTATGATAGCAGGGTGATGAATGATAGTGCATACAGCGACTTTTGCTCCCTATTAGTACAACATTTTTATATAGTGGCATTCTTCTATTACTCTTTATCACCAGGTCCATCTTGATCTGGATCGTCCTGAGGGGTGTCAGCCCGGAGCATACAGCATTGCATCGACTCACTTGGTGCCAATCTTTTACAGCCGCGTCAATCCACCCTCTGATATCGAGCAGCGCCCTGTCCCCTCCTTCTGCAGGCTGGCCGTCGTCTCCTTCATCCGCCTGCTCGTTTTGAACGCCTGTAGCCTCATGGTCCACCGCAGCCCCTTCTGGGTCGGCCTGATGCAGGGACAGATCAATATTTGGGTCATCTTGCACGGCTTGCTGAGCCACCGCCGACCGTTCCCTGGCCACTCTCCGTCCAGCCAATTCCCTCTCCACCTTGACCCTCTCGACTTGCATATTTTGCTTTTCCTGAACGACATGTGCCATGACATTTTCCAGTCCCGCCATCTCTGACCGCAGAGCAGCGAGCTTGGTCAGGTTGGCGATGAGTTCCAGCCGCAGGGGCCGGTGCTCGTCGTTTGATGGCCCGCCGTCGCCGGCGGTCATGCGCGATAGGTCGGCAGACTTTTCAAGCAAGCTGCCTTTCGAGTTGGCAAGCTCATTGTGGAGTTTTGACAGGTAGACATAGTCTATACCGGTGCCTATGACCGTGGCTGGAGGGGCCGGTACTGGGCTCGCGAGCTGATCGACATGAGTTGGTTCGACGGGGGCATCGGACGGCCGAGCAGCGATAAGCGACTGGAGGCGTGCGCGAAGACGTTGGTTTTCTTCTTGCATACCTGCAACGTTCTGCTCCAGAGCCATCCTAGAATACGTCAGTATAGTGTCGCATGATAGATCGAACGACTCACTGCTCATTCTTCTTTTTATTCCGACTCTTCTCTGCCGCACGGCGGTTCTGCAACCGCTGTCTTTCTTTCTTTTCCTCTGCTGTAAGACCCTTTGACTTCTGGGTGCTTGTTCCCGCTTGAGGTTGCACTGGCAACTCGTGTTGTGAAGGTTGTCGGACAGGAGACGGCTGACGTTGTTCGGTCTGTTGCTGGACAGCCGCCTGGGCTTGCTGAAGCTGCCGCTGCTCATGCTGCCCGGCATCCAGCGGGTGTTGGTCGATATCCATCCCATACTCGGCTCCATTAGCGCCCAGCTCGCCCACATGCTCATGATGTTGACTCAGATGCGCGTGCTGCTGTTCATGCTGGTCAGCGGCATGAACGAGCTGGGCAGCGTCGTGCACATGGGCGTCGAGGGAGGGAAACGCGTCGTCGGCCTGGCGAAGGATATCGTGGTAATCGATGCTGGGAGACATGAGGACAGTCGCGTCCAGGGATGGCTGACGTGGGAAAGAGAGATGATAACGAGGTGCTTCGTGATGTGGGATTTTTTGTTGTTGTGGTCTTCGACAAGAAGGCCGTTACGTAATAATCCCTATTGTCGGGCCGGGAAGGCCGCGGGGCCGATGACGAAGTGGATTCGGATTGAAATTGGATTGAACTGGACCAACTTGTGGTATTGCATCTCTACTTGCATTCACGGACAATAAACACAGCAGCAATGGGCGTCTCTCAGAACGAACAGACCGTCACACTCACTCACGAGTCGGTCAGTAACATCCCCATCTACCTCCTGCTCTTGCTGACTCCTGGCGTAGGGTGCCTCCGCTGAGATCTAGTAAGGATGGGCCGGCTCTGACCAACACCGCTGACATGTCGCAGTCTCTTTGGAGCTACCTTGACCTCCTGGAAGCAGGGCGGCAAGGAGCGCATGTTTGTCAGCTCCAAGTCCAAGCTCGACGGAACTCGAGCAGTGAGTCTCTTGCCCCTCGACGTGGATCAGATGGATGATCTGATCAATTCACCTTTTGCAGATCAGAGGTGGTATCCCTGTGGTCTTTGTAAGTCGCCCCCCTTGCTTCAATATCGCCGATCGTCTCCCTGACAACGCATGTTCAGCCCATCTTTGGCCCGCCCCCCTCCTCTCCTCCCGAGTACGCCGCCCTCCCCCAGCACGGTTTTGCCCGCACCTCCCAGTGGGCCCTTGAAGAGACCATCATGGATCGCCCCGAAGGCGTGTCTGTCCGATTCGTCCACCCTGGACCACCTGCGACCTTCCCGCACGAATTCAAGCTGAGCTACGTCGTCACCCTCACCGCGCACCAGCTTTCCACCGACGTCCACGTCGTCAACTCTGGCAAGGAGGACTTCAAGTTCCAGACCTTGCTGCACAACTACTTGGCTGTCCCGGACTCTAGCAAGATCAAGATTACGGGCATCGACAAGGGAACGACCTACAAGGACAAGGTGCTCGGCATGAAGGAGTACGAGTCTGACGGGAGCGCGCTCGTCATTGACAAGGAGATTGACCGGCAAGTCGTTTCACATCATGTAGAACGTTGACTGATGATGCTCCAGAGTCTATCAGAAGGTCCCTTCTCAGGAGATTGTCGTTGACGACGGTGCTGGATCTGGATACAAGGTCCACTTCCATGGTCTTGAAGAGTTAGTACCCACGTTACTGTTTGGCCATTTGCTGACCTGTTCTAGCTGCACGATCTGGAACCCGCAAGAAGCTACCGGTAGCCAGATGACCGACATGGAAGCTGGCGGATGGGTAAATGCTTCATATGACAATCTTGCCATGCTGATGCCTTTCACAGGATCGATACATCTGTATCGAGCCGGGATACGTTCGGGAATTCAAGACGCTTGCTCCAGGGGAAGAGTTTACCGGCGCGCAGACTATCACTGCCCTCTAGGATGAGGCCGTTACTATACCGAAATCGAAATTGTAGACTGCTACCACCTGTATGCATAGGAGACATAGTCCTGGTCATGGGTATTAGCGAGCTGTTGACTGACCACTGGGTGTATCAGTGTACGGTTTCATGATCGATAGTGCAGGGGGCAACGCCTCTTGGTTGATCCATCATGGTGAGAGCAAAGTCTAGAGTCGAGATGTCTGTCAACCATATGATCCATGCAGTTCAGTCAAGGTAGTCAAATATCCTGGCTCTGAGAAAGGCCATACCTGCTCCGCATACAGCTTAAGATTAATCGACCAGCCAGCATGACGTTGACACGCTCACAACGTTGCGGTACTCTTCTCAACGGTCGTTCGCGCGGATCGTGGAAGGTTCCAGAGATAGCAGTTACGTAACCGCCACGTGGTTCCACTCTTTGGAATGACGCTGCAGACGGTTTCTCTGCATTTCTCTGTACTTCTCTTTCTAATCCCACTATCCAAATCATCCCAACTACCCAACATGGCCCCCCTCCACCCCGAAATCACTTGGGCTCAGCGATCCTCAGAGTCCGAGCCTGAGAAGGTCAGTCAGCCTGCCCGCCATGTCCCGCCGTCCCCCACAGATGGCTTGCTGACCCCTTGCACGCAGAACGTCATCTACTTTACCATCAACACCCCCGACATTCAAGGCGAGCCCAAGTTTGACATCAAACCCACCGAGATCTCTTTCAGCGCCAAGGCTGGCGAGTACGTCGAGATCATCAGCCGAAAATAAAAGGCAAAGCTGACGGCGTTGCAGCGCCTCTAAGGGTATCCCCGAGAAAGAGTTTGCTTTCGACCTCCAGCTCTGGGCCGAGATTATCCCCGAGGAAACCAAGAAGCTCATCACTTCTCGAGCCGTCGTCCTTACCCTCAGAAAAAAGGAAAACAAGGCCGAGTACTGGACTCGACTGACCAAGGAGAAGCCCAACAAGAACTGGATCAAGACCGACTTTTCCAAGGTGTGTACATTGCAGTGATTGGGAAGAGAATGCTGACGCTGCATTAGTGGGTTGACGAGGATGAGCAGGACGAGGCCGAGGAGTGAGTTGTTTCGCCGCGATGGAACATTGTGCTGACCTTGCATCAGGCCTAGCGGACTCGATGGCTCCCAGGGAATGGGTGGACCTCCTGGTGCGGGCGGTATGGACTTTGCTTCGATGATGCAGGGTATGGGCGGTGGTGGTGGCGGTGGTATGCCCGATTTGGCTTCCATGATGGGCGGAGCTGGTGGAGCTGGCGGACCCGGTGGCATGGACTTTTCCAAGCTCATGGAGCAGATGGGTGGAGCTGGTGGCGGTGCCGGCGCGCCCGACCTCAACTTTGGCGACGACGACGACATTGACGATTCTGAAGAGCCCACCGATGCCAAGAAGGGCGATGCTTCCGGTGTTGAGAGCGTAAGTGTCTGTCAATAACGCCTCTGGGATGAGACTAACCGTCCATAGCTTGACGACGTTGAGTAAGGAGATGACAAGAATTTGAAGCATACATAGTTGCACATACAAACAAAACGAATGGATCCACCCATGTAAGCGCACACATACAGCTTTGCCGTCCGACTTTGATCGGATGAACGCGCAAACATTGAAATTAGCTAGCCGCCACATGCGCCTTCCATCATGCCTCATCATGTTTCAGCTTCACTTTCGTATCAGAGTCGAAGGCAGAATTCAGTGCGATGCATGTCATAATGCCAGTCATTATGTAGGCGCGTCCAACTATGTAATATAAAGAAAACATTCGAGATCAACTCGCCTGCAGTCATGTCGCCAACCACCAACATGATTTACAATTTTTGAGGAAAAAGATATAAAGATGACAACACAAAAAATCGTTCAAGGTCTAGTTGATAATACACCACCAAAAAGTGTCCAAAGTGTCCGAGCACCACTGCCGCTTAGAAGTCCTCCTCGAGAGAGAAGCCCTTCTTGATGGCGTTGTGGTCGGCGGCGCCGACAGACTGGTTGACACCAGCCTTGGAGTAGGCAGACACCCGGGACTCGAAAAAGTTGGCCTTGCCTTGCAGAGAGATCATCTCCATAAAGTCGAAGGGGTTGGTAGAGTTCCAGATCTTGTCATTGCCAAGAGCAACAAGAAGTCGGTCGGCGACAAACTCGATGTATTGACACATGAGCTTGGCGTTCATACCAATGAGGGAGACGGGAAGAGCCTCTGTAGTATGGTCAGCCATGGCCAAGCAGGCAACGAAAGAGACGTACCAGACAAGAACTCTTGCTCAATGGCGACAGCTTCCTTGATGATCTTGGCGATGGTGTCGGGGTGAGGGCGACGTCTGAGGTGGGTGAAGAGGAGACAGGCAAAGTCGGTGTGGAGACCCTCGTCACGAGAGATGAGCTCGTTGGAGAAGGTGAGACCAGGCATGAGGCCACGCTTCTTGAGCCAGAAGATTGAGGCAAAAGAGCCAGAGAAGAAGATACCCTCGACGGCGGCAAAGGCGATCAGACGCTCAGCAAAGGTAGACTTGTGGTCGGTGATCCACTTGAGCGCCCAGTCGGCCTTCTTTCGGATGCAGGGGATGGTGTCCATGGCCTCAAAGAGGTAGTTTCGGCGGGTGGTGTCCTTGATGTAGGTGTCGATGAGGAGAGAGTAGGTCTCAGAGTGGATGTTCTCCCTGAGAGTAGTGTCAGTGCGCTGTGTGGAATGTAGACGCGTCGTTCAACGTACATCATGATCTGGAAACCGTAGAAGGACTTGGCCTCGGCACACTGGACTTCAGCAGAGAATCGCTCGACAAGGTTCTCGTTGACGATACCATCAGACTGCAAGAAACGTCAGACGCGTCGAGGGGTAAGATAGATTGACTTACGGCAGCAAAGAACGCGAGGACGTGCTCGATAAAGTATCGCTCGTTGTCGTTGAGCTTGTTTTCCCAGTCGTGGAGATCAGGGGCGAGGTTGATCTCCTCAGAGGTCCAGAAGGATGCCTGGGCCTTCTTGTACATTTGCCAGATCTGTAGCGCAATGTCAGCCAATGTTTGACGCGTCGACGCGTGACTCACCTCGTGGTACTTGATGGGGAAGAGGACGAAGCGCGCGTTGGTCTCCTTGAGGAGGGGCTCGTCCTTCTCCTCGCACTCGAGGTCACCGACAAAGCGCTTGCGGTACTCCTCGACGTCCTCCTGGGCTTCCTCGACGACGGGCTTGGTGGGCGCGACGGCCTGGAGCTTGGAGAGGAGGGTGGGCTCGGAGGCCTTGATGGGGGTGGGCATGTCAAGGGTGATCTTGTCGAGGGCAGCGGCGGCAGCCTTGGAAGGGGTCTCTACGGAAGCCATGGTGTCTGGATGGAATGGGAAGAATGTTGATGAAGAAGAAGAAATCGAGCAGGGGGGGGGCTTATAACGGTGTTTGCGGTGCCTGGGGGACATTATTTCTTACGCGTTTCTAACAAATGCATTTCTTCGTGCCTTTTTTCGCATCGCGTCGCGCGATACAGCAGCTCCCGCCGTGACGTGGCAGCGAGCCACTGGCTGCCTCTTTCTTCCCGCCCGGCCGAACGGGCAGCGCTTGTCAACAGCGTATGGGATGCGCGCAATCAGATTAGATTACGTGCAGGGCCGAGCTTATGTGGCATTGATACCAGACATGCCTTGGCTCCGACGCGTGCTGGCCGGCACAGACGCGTCGTGTCAAAGTTCGGTGGTGAGCCATGGCCAATGTTGGGTGATAACGTCAATTCAGCCAAGAGCAGTGCCCCATGGTCCATGGCGAGTTTGCATTGTATCGTCACATGGGTCAGACGTTAGTCTGGAATGCTGTCATGCCGCACTTTGCTCTACTTAGACCCTTTCTGAAATGGCTGGAGTTTCCAGTCTCCGACGCGACTTGCGTCAGTGCCATGCCACAATCGCGAAAACACATCTGTCTAGCTATTATGATGCAGTACTAATGTAGTCACTCATTAAAGATTGGTCGTGTATCAAGTTCCTATACCATTCGCTGGTGTGTATGCACACTTGCATGACTACACACGAACTTGGGCTTGGCAGTACGCCGCTTCCATTGGTCGTAGGCGGACAGACCATGTACTGTGTCACTTGCTGGGAAATGCATCAGACATCTGACTTGCATCTTTCTCTCCCTTGAGCGCGATCCGATAGAGACTGTCAGTCAAGTATGCATGTGACGCCGCCGAAGTAAGTCCGGATGATGACTCGGCTGATGCGTCGGCCATGAGCGCCGCTGTAAGGAACGCGTCGCGCAAATGACTACTGCACGCGTCTTTGCGAATCCATCCACCAGTACTCGACTGCAGAACCCCGTGCCCCCCAGGTTGCTGCTACCATGGCCAAGGAACCCCCCGCCAAAACGTGAGCCCCTCTGCCTCGCCCGTCTTCCCGCACTGACAGCCCCTCCCCAGCACCGGTCCCAAGCAGTCCACCCTCGCCTCCTTCTTCGGCGCCCCCAAGCGTGGCCCCAGGCCGTCCCAGTCCAAGTCGTCCCAGCCACAGTCTTCTCCCGCCTCCAGCAAGCCCCCAGCGTCCTCCGCGGCAGGCGGCAGTTCACCTGCTCTGCCCAGGACTTTGAACAAAAGCAGCGTGGCGAGCAGCAACAGAGCTAGCAGCCCTGTCAAGCAGCCCGAGCTGCCCTCCGAGATCACCGTCGTAGAGGAGAGTGATGATGAGCTGTCGCCTCTTCCAAAGAGTGACGCTTCAGTATCCACCAAAGTGGCCTCGTCCAAGCCGACGCGAAAGCCGGTGGGCAAAATCGATGAAGATGAAGAGATGGATGAGGATGATGCCCCTGTGGTCACAGTGAGTATTCTCCATGCCAGAATATCTAATCTGACTCCTAGCAGGGCCGCCGTGGCAAGCGAAAGGTAGTCTATATGGAAGACACTGATTCTTCCGAAGATGATGTTCCAGCAAAATCCAGCAAAGGCCGTAAGCCCCGTAAGAGCATGAAGGAGGACTCTGAAGATGAGTTTGTCATTGATGAGGCGGAAGAGGCTGCCATGGGTGAGTTTATCTTGTAAAGGACTGGGCACCACTCATACATCACAGCCGCTGCCCTGGACGACTACGAGTCAAAGAACCTCTCACCCTCCAAATCCGCATCCGGTTCTCCCTCTCCTCCCCCGTCGCCTCCCCAAAAGATCAAGGCCAAACCCAAACCCAAGGCCGTGCCCAAGAAAGCCGCTGCTTCGCGCCCTGCTCCCAAACCCACCCAGGGTGGTCAATCGGAATCCCACTCCTTCCTCACTACTGCTGAGCGCAAAAAGCTCCAGGCCAAGGAAGACAAGCGCGATGGCGAGCAATGCTTTGATTTCCTGACAGAGATCAAGGACAAGGAAGGGAATCGTCCAGAAGACCCCGATTACGACAATAGATCAATCCACATTCCTAAGAGTAGCTGGCAGGACTTTACGCCCTTTGAAAAGCAATTCTGGGAAATCAAGCAGAACCACTATGACACTGTATTGTTCTTCCAAAAGGGCAAATTCTACGAGCTGTATGAGGATGACGCTATGATTGGCCACCAGGAGTTTGACCTCAAGCTCACGGACCGAGTCAAGATGAAGATGGTCGGCGTGCCGGAGCAGTCGCTCGAGTTTTGGATCGCCAAGTTTTTGGCAGGCGGTCACAAGGTCGGCATCGTTGAACAAGCCGAGACGGCAATCGGCATGGAGATGCGAATGAAGTCGGGGACCAAGGGCGGTGGCAAGGAGATTGTGAGGCGAGAGCTAAAGAGGGTCTTTACCAATGGAACCATCGTGGATGGTGAGTATCTCAGCTCTGACGACCCGAACCATCTGGTATCCATCAAGGAATCAGTGGGAGCCGACGGGTTGTCGAGCTTTGGTATCTGTGTCGCCGACGCTTCTACCGGAGAATTCACCTTGACTGCGTTTGACGATGACATTTCTGGCACTCGACTGGACACCATGTTCCGTCAGGTGCGACCCAAGGAACTAGTTCATGCCAAGGTGAGTTGTATCTATGCGTCTAGGTCGGGACTGACCATGCCTAGGGCAACTTGTCTGTTAACACCACGCGACTTTTGCGCAACATTCTCCCATCATCCACTTCCTGGCAATCCTTCAAAGACGTCAAAGAGTTTTACACCGCCGAAGAGACTTTGCGTCTGCTCCCATCGATTTTTGGTGAAGATGGTGCCATTCCTGAAGCTGTCACCAAGATGCAAGACAACGAGCTTGCCATGGAGTCGCTCGGCGGTATTCTCTTCTATCTCAAATCACTCAACCTCGATAAAGATTTGTTTTCGCAGAAAAACTTCAACATCTACGACCCCATCCGTGAAGGCAAATACCTTATCCTCGATGGTAAAACACTTGGCCACATGGAGGTACTTGTCAACAATGAGGGCGGTGTTGAGGGAACTCTTCTTGAACTCCTTCAGCGTTGCGGTACCCCGTCTGGGAAGCGTCTTTTCCACATCTGGTTGAGATCACCGCTCCGAGAGGTCTCGGCCATCAACGCGAGGCTGGACGCCGTCGAGGATTTGATGAATCACCCGAGGTTTGCCGGAGACTTTACACTGCTCTGTAAAGGCCTGCCTGATCTTGAGCGTCTGGTTTCTCGTATCCACGCGGGATCAGTCAAACAAAATGATTTCCTCAAAGTGGTTGAAACTTTTGGCAAACTTCAAAAGGGCCTCGAGGGGCTCTTGGACATGTCTGATTCTTTCGACTCTACTACCATCAAGGGTCTTTTGCGCCAGCTGCCCGACCTCAGTGCCATGGTCAAGCACATTCGCGGCATGTACCACATCCAAAGTGATGAGAAGACAATCGCCATCGCGCCAAACCCTGGAGCTGATGAGGACTGCGACAATGCAGATGCCGAAGTTGAGAGGATCGAGGGAGGACTAGACGAGCTGTTATCAGAGGCCAAGAAGACCTTGAAGTGCAAGGATCTACAGTATTGGCACAGCGCGCAGGGCGGGAAAGAGATATTCCAAATTCAGGCTCCTGCTAGTGTCAAGGTCCCGGCCAAGTGGACCAAGCAGAGTGGTACCAAGGTGAGTGGTCATACGTGGCGTTGGCTGAGGCTGACAGGGTGCTAGAACTTTTCGCGGTATTACACGCCCGATTCCATGCCTGTCATTCGACAATTGCAAGAAGCTCGTGAGACTCAGACTGCGGCTAGACGAGACTTTTTCAAAAACCTCCTGGCAGAATTCAGCAAAGACCGAGAAGTGTGGTTGAAAGCTGTTAGGTAAGCACAATCGCTTTACGTTGCGATTGTCTCTTACAAATGGTAGGATCGTTGCCGAGCTCGACTGCCTCATCTCCCTGGCCAAAGCCTCCTCGGACATGGATGAGCCCAAGTGCCGACCAGAACTCATAGAGTCCGACTCGGCCTTCATCGACTTTAAAGACCTTCGGCATCCCTCCATGTGCTTGCGCGCTGATTTCATCCCAAACGATGTTCAGCTAGGTGGTGAGGTTGCCAGAATCGATTGCATTACCGGTCCCAACATGGCGGGTAAATCGACGCTCCTGAGAATGACGGCTGCTGGCGTGATCATGTCCCAACTGGGCTGTTTGGTCCCAGCCGAGAGTGCGAGATTGAGCCCCGTGGACAAGATACAGACAAGAATGGGTGCTTATGATAGTAAATATGCTGACTATCGCATGGCAGTGCAGCGCTAACAGATCTCTAGACATGTTTGCCAGTGCCAGTACTTTCAAGGTTGAGCTCGACGAGTGCTCTAGGATCTTGAGAGAAGCCACTCCCAAGTCATTAGTTATCCTCGACGGTAAGTCAAACATGTACCTTCTACCCGTGGCTGACGTCTTCCAGAACTTGGACGAGGTACATCGACATTTGACGGCATGGCCATCGCCGGAGCTGTGCTTCATGAAATTGCAACCCACACCCTTCCCCTCGGTTTTTTCGCGACCCATTACGGCTCCCTCACAGACGATTTTGCCTATCACCCCAACATCCGCAATATGCACATGCAGACTCACGTCGACGACGAGCAAAAGCTAGTCGTTTTCTTATACAAGCTTATTCCCGGTGTGGCCGAAAGCTCTCACGGTACTCGTAAGTACGATCATGATCGGCAGCTGTGTAATTGACATATTGGCAGACGTCGCAAGGATGGCAGGAGTGCCAGCCGACGTCGTTCAGCGCGCCGAATCCGTCTCGTCCCAATTCTTTGACGACTTCAACCAAAAGCTCTCCACTCGCCGCCAGTCAAAGTTGCCCATCGTGGCTCAAGCCGACTTTGCTTGGCTGATGAGGGTCGCCAGTGGTGATGAGCACATGCTCAAGAATGGTACTTCTCTCGGCGGACAGCTAGATGTTATCCGGAGGGCTGTTGGCAGTTACGAGTTGAGTTAAGGGGGGAGCATGAGTGATAGTGCAGATAATTGCTTCTCGTTGTACCATTTCTTATTTTCGGAGCAGGATTCACTCGCGAATTTTCAGTCCTCGTCTTATGTATGCATTACCGTCTCTATCATCTTATGTGACAAGAGCGAGTCTGACTGATGGCAGGCTATCCCACAAAGTGCGGACATTGCCGAATGTCCGCGCCTCCACTTGCACGCTGCTTCCTCAAACTTTTGTTTGATTTCTTTGTCCACTTTCACGCGCTCCCGTCCAAGAGTTATCCGTCATGGCCAAGTCAGCAATCAAGACCACAACCAAGTCAAAGTCAAAAACACCCGTCGTAAAGAAAGACGAAGACGCGCCCATGAAGTCGGCCTCGGTGGTCGACTCGAGCTCGGACGGAGAGTCTTCGAGTGCAAGCGACGACAGCGAGGATGATTTGGAGAACGTCCAACCCAAAAAGAGCAAAGCCACGGATACAAGGCGGTCAACTGCACCTTCCGGCTCTCTTCCGTGAGTCCACCCCTGATTGTAAGCTTACTACCACTGACATCCGATGCAGCAAATACAGGCCCCCACCAGGCATGAGCCCTCTCGAGATTACTACCGTCACTGCTTCGTCCCCTTTTGAATGGGACGCTCTTGCTTCTTCCGCATCCTCCCACTCCGGACTTGAGCTCTGGGCCATCCGCGTGCCAAAAGAACTCAAGCCATCTAGACTCAGCAACCTCGTCATCTCCGCACCCAAAGAGGGTAAACCTTTGACAGGCAAGCTCGATCACAAAGGCCAAAAGTACATTCTGCGCACAGCCGGATCGAGTAAGAATCGAGCGGAGAAGGAGGAAGAGCGGGAAGAGGCCGGATTGGTGGATTCGATGGAGATGGGTGACGGAAGAGGGGCTGAGGATAAGGCCGAGGAGGGCGGCGAGGAAATGGAGGGCTTGAGGCTTCTTGTGCCAAAGGCCAAGGAAGGCGGAAGACTTTTTGTCGGTTAGTATCATCCTTGGATACTGGTCGAAAAAGGCTAATGCTGTGATAGCCCCCATCCCCATCAAACGCCGTCTCCTTCTGACCCCCGATCTGACCTCTACCCTCGAAGCAAACACGGATCCCTCCCTCCCTTCCTTCCTTCAGCCCTCAGAAAACCCTCAAACGTCAAAGAGACCACAGCCCACACATCTGCTTAAATTCAGAAATCATGCCTATGGGTACGACACCCCCGGGCCGGAAGTGACCAGCAAGAAGGTGTTGGGGCAAGAGATGGAAGTGGAAGAGGATGTTTCCGGCCAGGAAGAGGTCAAGGAGAAGGCGGAGAAAAAGGAGAAGAAGAGGAAGACAGATAAGGATGAGTCGCCGGCCAAGGCCAAGAAGAAGGCTAAGAAGTCGAAAGACTGATTTCTTTCTTCCGGCCCATTGTATTATAGCATGCAGCAATTCAATTGCCTCATATCACCACTCCCCTCTTGAAATCTACGAGGAGGCGCTGAAGTGCTGTCTGCTCGATGACAGAATCAGCGATCCCTCATCAAGTACCTGCACGTACTCGTAATCTACAAGTACGTCCTGAACATGTCGAGGCGCCGGGACAAGAGCGAAGACTGCAAGCTACATCAGATGGGCGAGATTTCAGGCGTCCAATGAGGAGGGATGACTACCACATTATTCAGTAGCTTCTCGGAAGTGGGATTCTTCATACGTTTATCATTGTTGATCCCAACTACTTGAAGATGAACAGTGCAAATGTAATCGCTGATGGGATGTGTCGACAGTCTGTTCCTCATAACGCTGGTATACTCAAGTAAGGATTTACGACATACAGCAGTATCAATACAACTTTAAAGCCACCAAGTGCCGCACTATAACAATCTATACAAGATTACTACCATTTGTACTCCTCATAACATTTTGAACTCTTTTCGATACTGCCTTGTTCACTGTCTTATTACTCGCCTTTCCCGACACGAGCGTAGCGACCTTGCAGTTCGCCAGCATCGCCTCAGCGCCCGATTTACCTCGAGGGCCCTCTTCCGCCTCTTCGAATGCTTCCATTAGATCCCTGAATGTGGGATACTCCGCAGCTATGCCAGCGGCAGCAGACGTTGTTACACCTTGCACCTCTTGGAGCATGAGTTCCAGAACGGCGGTCGACTCAAGGGCCTTCTTCTGGCCGTCCTGGGGCGCAAAGGCAAGGTGGGATTTGGAGATGAGTTTGTACTGTACAATGGTCAGCTGAGACATGTGAGACGAGGCGAAAAAGATACCGGACGGATGGCAACGTCCGCGGCGATATTGAACACCCAATCTTCCAAATCTTCAGTCTTTTCTACTGTAATATTGAGTCAGTACGTTACAACGATCAGGACTTGAGTATACTCACCATGTACCAAGAAGCATCCTTCAGCCACTTGAAGCTTGACCAACTCCTCCTCGATTCTATCCTTTGTGGGCCTCACAGCGCGTCTCCCAGCTGTCATAGCTCCTCCCACGGCGCCGCCTTCCAGCCCAGCCCTTGCAGCACTCATGTAGTCTTTATTTGCCATGGATTTTGACTTGGAATAGTACTTTTCGATTCCCTTTATCATGATGATCACCTGATCCTGCTGGGAGAGACTCAAAAGCAGCCGGACATCCGACGCCCATTGAACAAGCGCGTCGTCCCCATCAGCGATCTTGTCCACTAGCTCTTCAGCAGTGATCAGGATTAGTACGGTCTTCTCCCATACCCATCTGGGCTGATCTAGAGGAATAAAGCGTTTGACGACAACGTCCCATCTTGACTTCAGATGACGTTTGAAACGTATGGCACCAGGTATGGGTGAGTCCGAATCAGACATGAAATGGAGGTCAGACTGGTTGTCTTTGAGCTTGGTGGTGATCTCGGGGAGAGCGCCTGCAATGGGAGATGAGGGCTTGGCCATGTCGGCGGAGAGGTATAGAGCAACTTCGCGCACAGTATCATTCTTGGACACTCGAAGCTACAAAGAGTCAATAAAAGGACCTCTCTCTGCATTGAATATATCTGACCTTGTTGACATGCTTCATCTTCTTCTCGAGGGATTTCTCAGCCTCTTTCGCAGCCTGTTACAGGAGTCAGTCGAGTCGCCGCCTCTGCCATGAACGACTTGCCTTGGCCGTGTCCTTGGCCAGTTGCTTTGCTTCCTTGTCTTTGGCGTCCTGCGCCGCTTTTGCCTCACGCGCACTCGCCTTGATCGCCGCCAATTGTTCCTTGGAAAGACCCTACATTTGACTCAACAGATGTCACAAAACAGTATTGATTGACATACCTCGCTGTTTTGGCCGCTTGGCTTGGTCTTCTTTCTGGCTCCGGCAGTGTCTGCCGCAGGTGGCCTTTTTGTGGCCACTCTTGGAGCGACTGGAGACGACAGATATGGATCTTCCATTGCGTCAAGCTAACCGAAGATCAGTAACAGTCCACGAGATTGTGGTCCTGGCTTACGCGATCTATTGTGCTCATACCCTCGATCATCGACCTTGTCCCTTCTAATGCTCGTCCCTTTCCCTTCGCTCTACCAGACACCCCAATCCCATCACCTGATACAGTGTCCAATATACTAGTACTCGAAGTCCTTTCCACGCCATTGCCTGCCCTTGATGATAGAATGTTGGCTCGCGATTTGACGGGACTGAGCTTGGCGACATCGGCGATGAGCTTGAACACGTCCTGCTCAGCATCGTCATTGTCGGTCTCGATTCCGTCTTCAGAGTCGGAAAGGATGGTGATGGTGTCTTTTCTGCCTCTGAAAAGAGCTATGATCAAGCGGAGTAGCGTCCGACAATTCGATGTACCTACATTTTGGCCGAGGAGGCTGTTTGCTGGACCGATGGGAAAGACGAGCTTGATGTAGAGCGGGAGGGGCGGACTGCGACAACAGACACTTCTTCGTCCGACTCATCGTCGCTGATGACCACGATGCTGCTTGGCATAATGGATCGAAGCCGCGGGGACACGATAAGAAGAAGTGAACAAAAAGCAAAACATTAGTCAAAACGCGTCGATCCAGTTGACGCGACTGCCCTCGCTTACGTCAGCAGCTCAGCACTTAAGCTTGTGTGCGCGTGATCTGTATCAAAAAATGTCGACGACAACAAGGCAGTTCCCGCGGTGGCCAGGTCAAAACGTCCACAAGGAGGCCTCCACTTCCCAGGGAGACGACGGCTATCTACTTAGATTGTGCCCTTCGTTCCCATCGCTAGGGCGTCCACATGATACGCGAAAACGAAGCAGAAGGGACCAACCGTCGCTTCCTCACGACCCATCAGGGCCAGCCAACAACCGGCAACAGCACTCGACTTCCAGGGACTGCCTCTCATGTATACCATTGCGCCGAGAAGAACCCACTAATTCCAAGTATAGTCTGGTCGTTGTCGCCGGACGAGCTTGCCATGTAGAGGATGGCTACAGCGGTCAAAGGTGACTGACCGTCCGTTTCCATGCGCTGTCAGCCAGTGTTTCCAACGTGCGCAGTCGCCAAGGTCACCACAACCTGTATCCAACAATGATAAGCTCGTATCTTGGAATTGATGTTGTCCGCGATCCGCTTGACGAATGCAATGGCCGTATCTTCGGTACTTAACAGCCAATTCGCTCGCCTGGAGCTACTCTTTTCCCCCCGTATCTCATCTTAATACTCTCTTCTAATCCCCTGGCCTTTCTTCCTCTCATTGCTCTTTCGAGCGCGCGCTTTCTTATATCTCTGTGAGATCAAGTCCTGGTGACTTTTTCTAAACTTCGATACGCCCCTTCTTCAAGGACTGTAAGTGAGTCGCAGACTGTATCCTCTGTAAAGTGTCATACACTGACTTCGTGGCAGTACTTTACACATATCTTTCCTCGATCTTATCCTCCTCTGTCCTCTTGATCGGCAACCGGCTTGCCAATCTTGTACCCGTTTTGACTCTCGTTCTGCTCAACGTTAGCCCCTCCGACTCCTCGACCCAAGTGAACTTGCTTTACTACCAAAATGAAAGGCTTCACTGTAGCTCTCGTCTCTCTTCTCATGGCCTGCGACTTCAGCATCGCTCGTCCTAGTCTTCGTGTACGTTTCTTTGTCGTCTCTTGATGGGTGCTGACATCCATCACAGGCATCCGACAATTACAACCAGCTGGAAGTGCGCAAAATCAGGCGAGACGACCCTGCGTCGCTTGCAGACCATGCCGTACTCTTAGACCGCAGACAAGGCGGTGGTCGAGGAAGCGGTGGTGGCGGTCGAGGTGGCGGCGGCGGTGGTGGTGGAAATGCCAACGCTGGCAACAACGCAGTGAGTATATTTTGGATTGTTTTCGCTATAAGTCCATCTACTGACTACTTAGCAGGCCAACGGCAATAACGGGGGCAACAACGGGGGTAATAATGGCAATAACAATGGTGCCGCTGCTGTAAGACTCTATCTCTATTATCGCAACTTCGACCTTTCACTAACCTATCGCAAAGGCCGCCTCTGCTTCGGCCGCTGCAGCTGCTGCTCAGGTTCGTCATCTGTCTTTTACGCAAAAGTGTATTGCTGACCCTTGTCTAGGCATCGGCTGCTGCCGCAGGTAACAATGCGGCCAAGAATGGGAACAACAACAACAACAACAACAACAACAACAACAACAACAACAACAACAACAACAACGGCAACAACGGCAACAACGGCAACAACGGCAACAACAACAACAACAACAACAACGGTAACAATAACGCGGCCGCCGTGAGTCTACCCCACTTTTCATATATTGTAAGCTAGCTTATATGCGCGCAGACTGCTGTTGCGACCAACGAGAATGGTCAAGCAGGCCCCGCGGTCCCCAAGCTTCAGGAGAATACCGGTGGAACCAGTATGTCATTTGTTCCGATTGATTACCCGAGGCTGACGGCATGACAAGCTCTTGACAAGAGCGTATTAGTGTCAACCAAGGCCAACGCCAATGCCACCGCGGGTGAAGCTGCCAGCGCTGTTAGTAGTAATAACTTCATCAACGTGAGCCTTCTACACTACTACGTACTCGGGCTGCATTGACATGCGTCTAGTTCTGTGAAGGGAACACCATTACCAACGGTCTTCAGGTCAAGGAAGGTTCCTGCAAGTAAGTTTTGTGAGCCGTGTAACATGAAGCGCCGTGCTGATATGAGGCAGCCCTATCGTCATGGGCCAGATTCCTAGTACTCAGAACATGGTTACGACTACCTTCTCTCAGCCTGTACGTACCACATTTCCATGCTGGAAAGTTGCCTGACGACCGAGATAGAAAAACGGAGCCACCATCAAGGCCGGTCAGACCTTCACCATGGCCTTGAAGTCCTCGGGCATCACCATGGGTTCTTTCACCAATGCCCAAGCCAACTACTATGCTGCTCCCCAGCAGGTTGATTCGTCTGGGTATGTCTTCGTTATGTCTTCGTTGTCCACCCAAGAAACCCCTGATCCTGGTATAGTCAAGTCGTTGGACACGCCCATGTTGTGATTCAGGCCATGAAATCGATGGACGACGATTCCCTCCTCGACCCCAATACCTTCGCATTCTTCAAGGGTCTTGACAAGACCGATGGTTCGTTGTATCCATTCGCACTGTTCGTGGATTCACTGACGACATGATCAGTCAATGGCTTGTCTACTTTGGATATTTCGGGTGGCCTCGAAGCTGGTGCTTACCGAATGTGCACCATTATGAGTAGCAGTAATCACGCTTCTGTGATCATGCCCATCGCTCAGGTTCGTAGTACATCGTCTGAACCGCGCCACATTGACTGACAGTATCACAGCGAGGTGCCGAAAACACCTGTACCTATTTCCAAGCAGCCTAGATACCCCTTGACCCTCTTTCCATTGGTCGTTGAACGTTTTATGTGAAGCTTGTTGGAGGATACCTAATTGATGGAAGCCTAGCTGGCCGGTCAAGCATGCAGAGTATCCGCTTTACGGTCCATTTCGGTGCTGCTGGCTTATACCTAACTGTATCTATATGCACTAGCTGAGATGTTGACTGCGCCGTTGACCGGGGTCCGGGAGAGAGGTTACAGAATGCGAGTGTTACATGCACTGCCAGCAGGCCAATCGCCCTGAGGCGTCTGGGCCGACAGTGTAGAGCATAGATGGCATAGAAGGCTACCGTATGATAGAGCTCGCGCAGTCAGTCCAGCTGCCAGCACTCTTGGGCCCTTGGCTCTGCCGTAAAGAAAAAGAGGAAAAACAAAAAAGGTTGCTCGCTGCGCGACATTCGCCGCTCTGCCCTTGTACGTATACTCTCACATCGCCATTATTCCCGCCCAGTCCTGTCTGGGACACACAGTACCCCATCCCGCCCCGTCGCCACCCCGGCAACCCAGTAGCCACGCAACCCCCGCCTGACAACCCCCCAACGACGCCCTCGCCCATCCACCAAACATCCCGTCTGTTTACACCCTCGTCGCTGCAGACCCACAGCTCGATGTCAATGGCCGCCTCTCGTTCCTTCGCCAACCCCTCCTATCCCTCGTCCCCTGGTCCCGCCACTGCCTCCTCTCTGGGCTACTCGCAATATGGTTCCGGGTCCTTTGCTGGCGGCGGACCCAGCAGGCAGCTGTCAATATCTTCCTCCGCCTATGGGCCATCAGCCGGGCCGCCCTCAAGGAGTGGGAGCGGAAATGGTGTGATCAAGGCATCAGAGAAGAGAGGAGAAAGCAGAGAGGTGGCAAGGGTGCATTGGAAGGCCCTCAAGGAGTTTTTGGCGTCGTGGATCGCTCGAGGTGGGTAGATCGCATATGTCTTGCACTCGCTGACACTGGTCCAGAATCGCCAACGGCCAGAGCCTCTGCTCGTGAAAAGCTGACACGACTCACAAAGCTCCAATTTCAAGAGCTGTCAACGGATGTTTATGACGAGCTGATGAGAAGGATAGCTTCAGAGACAGGCGAAGGGGCTACTGGTATGTCTCCTGTAAACCCTAGGGGCGGCTAGCTGACGCTGTACCAGCCCCATTCTTACCCGTTCGTGAAGACTTTCACCCGAAACGCAACCAAGCGCGTCAGAAACTCGCCACCCTTCCGAGTAACAGATTCAAAGATCTTGCTAGCGACGTCTTTTACGAGCTCAAACGGCGATTCCCTGAATTTGAGCGAGAACAGGGGCAGCTGCAACAATATGAAGAGCCGCCTGCCCCTGGCCCTCGGCCCTCCATGTCTCAAAGTCACTCTCAGCAATCTCTTTCCTACTCTTCCCAACGGGGCATTGCCGAGACACCCCCTCCCACCCTCATTGCTCGAAATGCTTCGAGCAACTCCTTGAGTAACTCTTTGCACCAGCGGCAAGGCTCGCGGCAGATGTCGGCCAGTACACATCGATCGAGACCTTCCAACGACCGCAATAACCCTCGGGAACCGGAGCCGGAACCTGAAGAGGAGTTTTTGGATGATAACGGGTACGACGACCGTCGCCCGCAGGCAAATGCTGCCACGAACGACATTGTCGTTCCAAGCAAAAGCCGACTCAGGGAGGAGGAGATTGAAGTGCCGTATGCGCGGGATAGCACAATGGATGTGTTCAGGCAAAGTGTGGCGTCGAGGGGGGAGAGTGGACGCGGGTCCGGGTATGGGAGAGACAGTCAGGCGTCGTATGGTATGTCCCCATCGGCATCATTCACCGGAGAAGATTTCAGGAGAAATGCTCCCCGAAATGCGGAATTGTTGCCTGAAAGAGAGTATGTTTCGGACACTCAAATTACATCCAAAAGTCTGCGAAACGAAGAGGCTGAGAGAAAGCTTCGAGACGAGTACGAGTACAGACTGGAAACTCTGGATAAAAAGGTTGCTGCCGCCGAGAGGGAAAGGGATGAGGCGCGTAGGGCCGAAGTGCAAGAGAGAGATATGCGTTTAGAATTGGAGGACCAAATCAAAAAATTGAAAGAGCAGACAAGCACCCACTCTTCCTCTTTGCGCGCGCTACAACATGACCTCGACCTCGCTCGGGACAAGACCGAGAGTGCGAGGCAAAGAGCTGAACAGGCAAATGCGAATGCAGATGAAGAGGTTGCTCAATGGAGAGAGAGATCGGAGCAGCTGGAAGATGAGTGTAGAAGGCTTGAAGAGGAGAAAGTGTCCTTGGAAGATGAGCTGGCGCGAAGTGGACAGGGCGTGAGTATATATGATCTTGATTGTCACCTAGCTGAAACCCTTCCAGCAGGCTGTGGGTAACATTCGAGACGAACTGCAGTCTCTAGTGGATGAGCTCAACTCTCTTTCCATGCGCAACGAGGACCTATTGACTGAACGCGAAAGTGACGCGATGCGTTTAAGCGATATGGAGGCCAAGGTATCCGAGTACAAGCGCAAATACGATGCTGTAAGGGTCGAGCTGCGAAATCTGAAAGGTGAGCAAACCTTCGTCTCTTGCCAGTCTCTGCTGACATTCAAAAGCCACTTCTACGATGTTTGCTACTTTCTCCAAGCCGATCACCGATGACCATCTACCGGCATCTCCGGATGGCAATATTCTGGATATCAACGTCTCGGCATTCCAAAGCTCCGTGGACAACTTGCTGTCAGCTGCACGGCAAGTCTCAGGCTCATGGGAAAGGTTTCGGCGCTCACACCGTTGCAGATCCTCGAGCCCATCTGGCGTACTTCCAGCCATGAAGGCAATTGTCGAAGCTATTACCGCCATCGGCGAGGACGTCAAGGGTTTCGAAGCCAATCCCAACATTGACGTAGACGTCTCCCGCCTCGAGTCCCTCAAGTACGAATCTACCACCCGTCTCAATAATCTCATGCAGGCCGCCCGAAACCATGCCATGGCTTCCGGTCTCTCCCCCGTGTCGCTGCTTGATGCCGCTGCTGGCCATCTCAGCACGAATGTCGTCGAAATCATCAAGCTGCTGAAAATCAAGAGGAGTGACAAGGATTTAAAAAGGAGTAGTAGTCGATTGAGCATCAGGGATATGGTAAACAGGGACAGAGAAAGGGATAGGGCGAATGAGACCTGGGATGCCAACTACAGGTCTGAGAGCAGATCGGGGCGGCGAGCTGAGGCATCTGATGAGCGAGGACCCGGTGTCAAGGTCACCCGACCTTCTGTCGACAGATCGCAGAGTGGCCGCGCTCCCTCGAGGTCTGGATCAGCGAGTGGGATCAGGTATGAGCCTTCAAGGGCGGTGACGCCTACGGAGGCGGTTCCTACGACCCTCAACAGCTCAGGTCCTCCTAGTTCGTACAGATCACCCCCTTCCAGCTCGAGCTACAACAATCCCACTTCTGCTTCTCCCTCACTTTCCAACGCCTCCCCGCCTCCTGCTCCTTTGCGAGCCCAGAATGACCAGGGAAGGCCCAACCTCCGGATAAATTCCTATCAATCTGTCTCTTCCAATGCCCGATCAGACTCGTTTGATCTTGAGCGCAAATCGTCCATCCTGACCGAGAGGTCACCGTCCGCTCGTGTTGAGCCGCGTAATGCGCCGACTCCTATGGAGATGACACGTGAAAATGATGCCCGCGAGAGAGAAAGTCTGGGGTCGACGGGTACGGCAAGCAGCAGTGGCGGACCCATGACCGCCCCTGGATCTGCCCGTCCTTTTGGTTCTGTCGAGGTGAAACAGGCCGAGTCGGACGACGATGGGCGAGAATGGGAAGATCTCAAGCCGTACCTGAATGCCCAGTCATCGGCTTTGGTCAATTCGATCCAGAACCTCCTCGCTGCTATCCGAACAAATTCGTCACCCGCCGCTCTGAACGAACATCTCTCAGAAGTCATCGCCATAGCGTCATCCATTGTGGCAGTCTCGACCAATGCCTTGCCTGGGTCATTGAGGGGACAGGGGGATGGGTTATTGAAAGAGCTGGTGAGCAATACAGACAAGCTGAGTGAGGCGCAGGAGGCGGGGCAGCAGGATGGGCAGGCAGGGGTGTTTGAGAAAGCCGCGAGGCAGCAGATCGCGAGCGCCAGTTTCGGGGTGGCGAAGAGCTTGAAAGCTTTGATGAAGTTGGGGACCAACGGTGATTAGTGGTCGCTCTGTCATTTTCATTCGAATTAAAGATATGATCCTTTAGTATATCCACCTTTCACGTAGCGAGTTCCTTGTCCGGGCTCGCGTTCTCATGACACGCTATGCACACGATGGTAGACAGATCTTGAAGAGTGACAAGTGCATGAATTTGTCTAATCCTGCTCGAGACGTTCTCTAACAAAATCCTCAGCTCTGCGTAACCTCGACAAACTCTCTTCAAGACCCAATACTGATACAAGTTCAGGTACACCAGGTCCCTTTTTGCGCTCTGTCAAAGCATGCCGGAGGGGCACGAGGAGTTGGGGTTTCTTTGCGATGTGCAACTCGTCAATGACTTTGTGGATGACATCCCAGACGAGGTCAGAGTCAACGGTCACTGCTTTGTCGGCGTAATGTTGAAGTGTTTCGGCGAAAAGGCCAATGTATTGGCCTCCCCGTTGACGTTAGTCATATCCAGAAATGATGATTAGGGAAGGGCTCACAATAGAGACGTGGATTGATGGTCTTCAGGATGAGTTGCGATTCTTGGCAGGTGTAGGTGGGAGGGAGGAAATAAAAGATAGATTGTAAAGGCATGTCCTTGAGGATTACTGTTCGAGGCTGGTTGAGAGATCAGTACTCCAACACTGCAGGGTTTTTCAGAAGTTGATGCCCACCAGGTCTGCGTCGAGTACTTTCTCAACATACCCAAGATCGTCCACACGAACACTGGCCATGAACGGTTAGCACACGATAGACGGTAGACCACTCGGTAGAATGTTTGTCTCACCATCCGCGAAGCGCCTTCTCTTCCTTCAACATTGTCTGAAAACGCTGGACCAGCGCCCTCTTCTCCTTCACGGAGTCTGCCTCTTTATTGAGAGCATTGATCATGCTCCCGTCCGCCCCCAAGCGACCAGCTTTCCTCCTCAACGTCATCTTGTTCAAAAAATCCAGCTTGCTCTGATCGACAGACGCTTTTCGGTGTGTAATGTACGAAGGGTCAAAAGACTCAATGAGCTGTGTCAATGAGAACAGTTCATGGAGAGAATGCCCGTCGCTGCGAAGATGAGGATCGAGAAGAGTCTCTTGGGTATCAAAGGAAGTCGAGATGATGGATTGGTAGTCCCATCCCATCAGTGCTAGGAAGTTGAGCAGGGCGTCGGGTTCGTAGCCTCGTCTCTAGTGCCGATATCAGCGAGGGACAGTGAATGTGGTCGTAGGGACTCACAATATAATGCTCTACAAATGTATCGCCCTTACGTTTGCTCAACTTTGTGCCGTCAGGGTTACAGAGGAGGGGCAAATGGGCGAAACGGGGAGGGGTCCAGCCGAAGGCGGTATACAGCCTGTGATGCTTGGGCACAGACGCCAGCCATTCCTGGACATACTATGAGCAAACGCCACAATGTTTGTGCAATCAAAAGGCACACCTCTCCACGGAGGACATGTGTGATCTCCATGAGATGGTCGTCCACCACACTCGCGAGATGGTACGTTGGCCAGCCATCAGATTTCATGAGCACAAAGTCGTCTGGGCCTATCACAGCTGTAGGTTGGCGGTCGCCGTAAATCATGTCTGCAGGGAGGTCAAGCTTTCCAGGCTCGTTCTTCGATGTTCCGTTAGCGAAGTCTCTCTCGAAACTCCTGGGCCCACCTTGTACCGCACAACATATGTATGGCCAGCCTTTTTCCTCCGGGCGACATCTTCCTCCGTGAGATGTCGACAGCGACCATCATAGCTGTGCATCAGACCTTGTTTCTTCAGAGACATTTTGATAGCCTCAAGCTCGGTGGGGGTACAGAAACATTCGTAAGCTTCGCCTTTGGCTACCAGTTGTTTGGAGTAGTGCTGGTAAATGTCCAATCTTTCGGACTATCCATATGGTCAACGGAGTTCAAGACCTTTCGCGAGAGCTCACTTGAGTGTAGGGGCCATGTGATCCCCCCGCACCCACTCCTTCGTCGTAATTTAGCCCCGCCCAGTCCAAAGCGCTTCTGAGACTGTCCACGGCTCCTTCCTGGTATCTTGTCTGCGTCCGAGTCAGATGCAGTCTTAGATCATTGTCCACTGTCTGGACATACCCTATCCGTATCTTCTATACGCAGAAGCCACTTTCCCTTCCACTTCCTCGCGAGAAGGTGGTTGAAAAGGGCTGTTCTGAGGCCGCCGAGGTGCAAATGGCCAGTGGGAGATGGGGCGAATCGGAGGCGGGCGTTGACGGGAGTTGCTTCAGGAGTAGCGTGTGAATGGCAGAGGCGAGATCCAAGCGACTTGGGGCATCTGGAGATACTCCGTAGCGAGGACGCCATCGTGATTGGCAGAGGAAGATACAGAAACGGCTGTTCGCTGACCGACGGACAGAAAAAGTCAAGGAAGTCGAATAATACGGTGACGTGGAAGGAGACTTGTTCCGTGGCAACGCGATTGAAGCAAGATTGAAGTCGGAATGGAGTCCCCGTTGTCTCTTCCGTTCTGCTACCGTTCTGTCGACCAGATGACTCCCTCACCGCTCTCCCCGCCACTCAGCGGTGATGATACTCCCCATAATATACCCTCTGACTACCATCGGGTGTTCGTCGCGCTGCCGCGACTCACACCACAGCAACGCGCAGGATACCGCCCTTGGCCTCTTCCTTGCTGCCATTCAAGGCCATATGGTATGCTTTCACAAAATAGCAAGCTTGGCTCTTCAGAGAGGGAAGCTATGACCTCTCCCAGCTCCAATACCCCAGAAATACCGCCTCAACCCCAAGCTCTTCGCGATCCTTTTGTCACTCCTTCTGTGGGTGGTCTGCTTGACAACGGGTCTGACGTGCAAGAGCTAGCACAAATGCCGCTTGCAAATAGACAACAAGGTTCTATTGGTAAACGCAGGCACATAAAAGTGGTTGCAAGTAGCGGGGACGAAGACGACGTTGTCGTGCTCAATCCAAGGTCTAAACGACGGATCGTCACTGCTCGTGCAGCCAACTCTTCCAAGGCATCTCGAGTTGATGTCACTCACCGAGCTTCCTCTTTTCACAGTGCCACCCCTGTCAACAAGCGCCGCTTTGGAAAGTTTGACGGCGGCCGCGAAGTCGACTATGACGACCTTTTCTTCTCTGCCGATGAGCGACATGCTTCCCCTCTTCCCCCCACGGCAAATTCCCGTTCCCGAGTACGGGAAGCCATTGCTCCATCCACTCAGGCAGCACTGGACGGCCTCAAGGAAAGACGCGCTCGCCGTGGCCCGCCGCCTACTCGGTCTTCCGACTTCCCGGACGATTGTCCTGGACGCCTCGTCATTGTCAGCGATAGCGAGCGCAGTCTTTCCCCTCCACGCACATCCAGGCGTCGTAGATCGAGCGGTAAAGCCAAGCCCGCTACACAAGTTTACCTAGACCCAGACGACAAGTCCACGCACGAAGCAGAGACGGAAGAAGAAGAAGACATGGTAGAGGGCCTCAAGTTGGACAATCCCGAAGACTATCGAGTGGAAGGCCGACTCAGGTCTCCTAGGAAAGAGACTCGGAAACAGAGAGCCATCCGACATCTTAAAAACAAAAGATTGGGGGTCATAGAAGTTTCGAGCTCTTCAGAAGGGGGCGGGGAAGAGTCAGACTCGGCAGAGGAGTATTTCGGTGATGACCTGCTCCCGGATGGAACCGTCCGCGACCCCTTTCGCACGGAGGAGGATGAAATGCGCGACTTTATCACAGATGATGGTCACGATTCGGCAGGCTACGAACTTCCCGCTGAATTTGCCGGCGCCCGCGGTCAGTCCGAAGACACCAGATTCCGCATCGTTTTCCAATACTTTCTCTACTTGGCCATGCATGGCCCGGAGCGCGCCAGAGACCTGCCAGAGAGAGAAAAAGCGTACTTTGAGCCTTTTTTATCTTCTATGAGGACAAGGATGACCGACTACCGAAACAACAGAGTACGAAGTCAGGCGTGGAGGCAAGAGTTGGTTCACAAGCTCTTAAAGTATCCATACTTCTGTGTACGTACCACATCATTTCTTCGCGAGCCCGATGGACTACTGACTCATGATGGTTAGGCTCAAACCGTCGAACCTGAACCTGGCTGTGACGCATGCAACTTGAGTGGAAGGATTAGTAGCTTTGCCATGTCACTTGAAGGGCGACCCTATGACTCCGTCACTTTCGAGTATGTGACTGATTCTGACGACGACTTAGAATCATCCAATGCCGAGGAAGATGACGAGTGGAACGAGCTTGAAAAGCTTCGAGGGACAAGGAAGGGAAAAGACAGTCCTCAGGGGAAGATAGCAAGGGAGAAGTCTCAGATGATGGAGCACCTTCGTGTGGACTATGAGTGGCTGGAACATGGTGAGGGGATGATTCATGGCGAGGCAGGCGAAGCTGAGGAGGCCGAGCAAAGGAAGGGTGACTCGTATATCATCGGTGAGTATATCTATTGATTTGATGAGGCAGCGAGAGAGCTAAACTTGCACAAAGGTAAATACTGCAAACGTCGAGCCCAGATATTTCACAGGATCTCCCATTGGGGTATGTTTCATGTTGTCTCCACACATTGAATCCAGCTGATCAATGAATTGACAGAATTCATCCTTTTCCACCGTATTAAACAGCTCTACACCGACCTCCTCACCTGTATGGGCTATAAAGTCCCCGGTTCCCTTTCTGAAGACAGAGCCAAGAAATATGCAGCCGAAGATGACGACTACTATCTGGGCAGGAGGAACACTCGGCAAAGGACGATGGCCGATAGGGCAGCTGTCTTGAGAGGGACCGATTTCCCCGAAGATTGTGAGGACTTGGAAAGCGTTCTCCAGTGGATGATTGGCGAGCGCTATGTTTCGGAGGTGAGCAGTCGACGATCTCAAAGACATCGTCCGCTCACGAGTAGCTATAGCAACAAGAATGGATTGAGAATCTGATCGAGAGGGCCGAGAACTTAGATAAGATACCCTCGGATCGGTGATGCTCGCGCAATCTTTCTTTGAAGTATTCCTCCATCTTGGGGGCTCCATATATGCGCCTGATGGTGGAATGAGACCTTGACATACGCACCATAGCTGTAAATTTGTTGATTTCGATTGTAGATAGGGTGCGTCCGATATGGAGTGTGACCTTGACATACATATTATATAGTTATAGCTCTTTTTGATTTTGATTGTAAAAAGGGTGGAGTGTACAATTAATTGGATCTTGCATAAGCAGCGAATGAGTATAGTTCGTGTCTGTCAATTCCTCTGAACATGGCCGCGTATTGCACAAGATCAACTCCACTTCACTTCGAGAAGAAGTCAAAGCCATAATCCTCCCAAAAACGCTACCAACACGCCCATCTTCATCATTCCTTCTACCCCGCCCCAATTGCCTGGTAAGCTCACACTCCTGAAAGCAGCAGAGTCCTGAGAGTCTGAATCGGAGCCGCCAGATTGGGTAGACGCAGGGGAGGTGGCGGTGGATGATGCTGTGGAGGTTGAAGTAGCGCCGCTGATTCCCATGGCGCCGGTCGAAGTGGCGTGTTCAGCACTCGAGGACGCGGAGGAAACACTCGAATACGGTCAGCGCTGCCTGGTACGCACATAGTGGGAGTTGGACTTACGCGCTATCAGCTTTGCCTTGGTCCGTGTTAGTTTCTTGCATGACGATATTGATGAACTGTCACCAATCTCTATCAGCTACCAATTCTATCCGGTAGCATTGGGGGTACTCACATGCATGACGCCGTTAGGCAAAGCCATATCACTTCTGATAAATTGGGCTCGATAGTCACCAACAGAGACGAATGAAGTGTCGTCTTCGGCGGTGAGGTATGTGAGAGGAAGACCAGCTGCAGTGACGTAAACGTTGCCGGATTTCAATAGTGGCGAGTATGCCACGGTACCGTTCAGGATCTACTCGGCTGTTTTCAGCTGTATTTCCTCGGCTGAGAGAGTACTGACGCACGTGATTTCTCAGAATGGCTTGCTTTTCGGCATCTGACCAATTGCTATAATTGCTGTTGACCCTAGCAGAACGGAAGGCATCATCAACGGGGACAAAGAAGGTGCAGCCATGGCATTCCTCGACGGTTTGGTTCCAGCCCAGAGATGATATAAGAGAAGCGAATTCAAGAGCCCCGTCTGGGGCGGCGAGGGCGAGGTTGGGGGTGTTGAGAGTCTTTATCAGAGGTGATGGCTATGAGAAGGTCAGCTGAGGATGAACTAAGAGATGTGATATTGCGAGTGATATTACTACTGCGAGGATCTGGTTGTTGTGAGCAAGGTTCCTTGCAATAAAGTAAAGACTCACCCTGTCAATAGGCTGCACGTAAAGATTCTCGTAACTGAACTGGTTTCCCTGGCTCGTAGCATTCCATGTGTCCCCCCTAATCAGGACTGAAGTGTTGTCCCAAGGCTGTGGGACCGAGCGATTGGCGGCAGTCTCCAGTACGATGACTTGGGCTTGTTCACCGGGGAGAAGGATGGTGGAGGAATGGAGGCGAGTGAACGCCACAGTATGTGTTCTCGGGGGAGCAATATCCGTTGACGAGTTGAGGTGGGCCTCGACCAACTGAAAGGGGTCAGCTTTTCAAAGTCGAGAGATGTGAACGTACGTGGTAAGAGAGAAGAGACACAAGGTCTTCGCTCGCCTCTGGGTTTGAGAGCCCACTGCTCTCCCACGCCTGATCCAATAGTCAGTCATTATTTCCTGTATGATACCACCTACAACGTACAGAGTTGACAGGCGGATAGAACGTATAAGCATCGTCGGAGTACAAGGCCTCAATAAAGTCGCGTCCACTGTCCGTTTGATTGGCAACGGTCAAGGCATTCCAGAAAAGGCTCAATCCAGCTTCGTTGAGGGCTGAGTCAAGGCCGTCGAAGTATTCGCCTTCCGTCCCTGGGCGGGCCGAGGCGAAATAGCAGGAAGCGCCAAGCAAGGCGGCTGAGGTGAGGTGGGAGAAGAGCATGGCGAAGCAGGCGGATTCAAGCAATCCTGGGGAATGAGTGGCAAAGAATTAGGTCGGGGAGAAGGGGTCAGTCTACAAAGCAGACACTTATATAGTGGCTGATGCCATGATTGCATTACGTCCCGGTACCTGCCAGTATGTGTGCAGTAAATCCGGGCTGTCAAACACGAGGCAAAGGCTCAAGGCTCGTGGCTGACTGTTTCATGATTGTGGCATATTGGCGGCGATATGCGATACCATGGGAAGAAGCATTATGGGTATGACGAGTGTTCTGGTTAGATACAGGGGCGCAGACGGAGGAAAGAAGCTGGCGGGTGGGCAGGAGGAAGCAGGGCGTATGTGATCGCCCCAAGCGGGCATGATGAGAGGGGCACTGTAAATATTCAGGCGCATCAGTACAGATCGTCATAATTGTGTATATTGAAGATTGTCGAAATTTGATCGCGAGGGCCTGTTCAAGGGCTGTTTTGCAAGAGGACGTCTGAATCTTCCACGTCGCCGTTTTTCAACTTGTTCCCTTGCAAGTTGCGACTCTTCCTGTTGTTTGTGGCTTGTGCATCTCCTCACCACGCAAACATAAAATGGCACAGACAGTCCCGAACAGTACGCTACTATCATACTGTTCATACTCATATACATCACTGACATGTTCACTCTCAGTCCCTCGCGACGGGCGTCTGATATCGCTCATCCTCGCATCCAAAGGCATAGAAGACGCAGACGAACGAGTCATACACCAGCTCCTTGACTTTTCAGCAAGTAAGTGCATCCCACATATACACTGCAGCAAGCTCTGACACTGTCCCAAAAGGATATACAGCAGATGTCCTCTCTTCTTCCCAAACTCTGTCCGACCACGCTGCAAGAACAGGCGCCAGCTCGAACAGAATCGAGAAGGACGACGTTGAGCTTGCTATAAAAATGAGAAAGCTTTATGAATTCTTCGAGGCGCCTCCGCGAGATGTGAGTAGCTCACATATGGACAAAGAGCTAACGATTGGCAGTATCTCGCGACTCTGGCACACGAGCTCAACTCTCATCCCCTTCCCATCCTGCCAGAAACATTCGACATCATCCGTCTTCCTCCGCCCCACCAACGATTGGCAGAGGTCAACTTTGATATTGTCCCTGATGTCGAGGTGGCGTATTTGGAAGAGGAGGACGATGAGAGTGACGAGGAGAGGGAATGGGATGAGCAGAATGGAGAAGAGGCCAAGGCCGAGGAAGACGATGGGGATGAGGAGGAAATGGAAGAGGTTGGGGTAGAAGGTCCGTCACTTATGGAGCCTACGGCTCCTACCAGGCAGGTCGACGTGGATGAGGATTACGACATGTAAGAAGGAGACTTTTTGGGATCTATGTTGTATTGTATGCCACTGTGTACCGCACATCTCTCAGTCCACAAGTCCATCATCTCATCGATTAACAAGACTACATAGCCTAATACCGAGCAACGCAAAAAGACCAACATTGACAAAAATATACCAAAGCTCCAGTATAAAATGTCGTCTGAATATCCGATTATCCTAATTTTGTATGTATACAACTCTACTGCCCGCTCGCCTCGGCAAGATATTTGCCCGTTGTAGTGTTCTGCCTCACCTCCTCAAACTTCCATCCGTCTCCCTCCAGCTGTCCAGGTACAATTTCGATACCCAAACCACTGATCAACGACCCTTCCACGGCCCAAGACGCCTGCACCCCTTGCGGGCTCATCGCCTCCCCGCTCCCAGACTCGCTTGTGAATTTGGCGATAATCTTGCCCTCTCCGTCCAGCTCGTCGAGCTTCCATTGCATACGTCTCGTCGCGGGAGACCAGACTCCGCCAGCAGGTTTGGCTTGCACATTGGTGATCGCGGGGCCAGGGGCAAAGGCGGCTACGATGGTGGCGTTGGCGCCTTGGAGAGACAGGGACGTTGAGGGGCTGCAAGTGTAGTGCAGAATCATCCTTGTTTCGCCTTCCTTGCACTGGAACGCTGGGTCGAGCGTAAGCGGCAAAAATGCAGCCTCCTTCCCCGGTTGGACATGCACCACATACTTGAACAGTAGTGTGCCCTTACTAGCTCCCGTACCAAGAGGGGCCTTTGATGTAGCAGCCGCCAGCACCTCGGCATTCAAAAAGTATTCCCCTGGCCTATCGGGCACTTGAGCAAGGTAGGCGGGGTTGGGCGCAATCTTTTCCAGCCTTTCGAATTGTGTGAGGCGGAGGTGGATAGGACCTTCAGGGGTGGGAGTGACTGTAGGATCGTGACGGAGGGATAGATGAACTTCGCCAGTAATCTGAATTCGCGAGACTGTCTTGGACTTGAAGATGACGTTGACCATCTCGCTGATGTTGGCTCGCAGACCTGGATGGTCGGTGGAAGTAGTTGCGACTTGAGGGGTCATGCCCGACATGCCGGACGTGACCATACCGGGCGAATCAAAGGGGTTATTAGAGGAGACAGATGAGAGGGAGGTGCGGCGCCCCATGGGTGATGGTGAAGGGATGGTATCACGATTGAACATGTTTGAGCGAGTGGAAGCAGGAGACTCTGCGAGACGCTCTTCGGGCTCAGAGAGCTTAGGAAGTGTCGCGGCACCTGCGCTCGCACCGACCACTGTCCCCGGCCCAAAGCCAAATCCTTGCGACCCATCGTCGGTCGGCCCACCAAACATGGTATTTCTAACATCCCTGCCCCTTCTAGCTATGGTCGACCTTCGATTCGGTGCGCCACCAGGAGGGGGAAGCTGTAGAGTCTGCTGCATCTTTGCCAGCGCCGCCTGCCTCGCCTCCTCGCTCTCCTGAATCGGCTTTTCTGCCAAGGACAAATTGAGGCGCGGTTGGCCGGTGGCAGAGTCGAGGTTTTCGGAGGAGGCGTTCGGGGAGGATGTAAAGTTCTGGGAGAAGAGGGCGTTGTTGCCAGTGGGAGAGGTAGGGTGGGAGGCCGAAGTGGAGCCACCTGTGGGGGAGGGAATGAGCTCGTTGGGGTTTTCCCAGGGGTTGCGGTGACGATCAGAGGGAGCGACACTGAAACCCTCCTCATCCACCGGTGGCGCATTCTTTGTCATATCAGCCCTGCGCTGTCGATGAACCGTCAATTGACTTACCGAAGGAGCACTGATAGGTTCAGACGGCAGAGGATGGTTCCTCGACTCCTCTCCGATTGCTTCAAAGTCATTCGTTCGGTGCGCACTTCTGGTAGAAGTGGCATTGCTACCACTTCTGTTCCTGTTACCACTGCCTCCCATCGTTTTGGTTCTACCGAGCATAGACTTGAAGCCGCCAGCAAATGAGGAACCGGTGGTAGACACATTGCCTTGTGAGCCATTGCGCAGCGCTTGAGGGTGAGGCGAGAAGTCGTGGCTACGGGTGGAAGGGGCTATAGAGGAGTGACGGCGATTGGATTGGGCTAAGGCCTATCAGTACAGGTCAATGGTCAGAGCGCGCAAGTCTTACGAGTACCAACGACACTTTCCGGCCCTGGCGTCGCTCTGATACTTCCCGCTGTCCCGCCGCCAATGGCACCCAGCTTCTGACCGACAGCCGTCACCTCTTCTCCGGTCTCCCACCCGAGCAAGCTTGCCACAGTCCCTTCTGCCCTCTGACCGTCCCGGGTAGCCATGTCGCCCTTGACAGTCGCCCACCTCACCGCGATCTCCTTCTCGGCGCGCAACCGTTCTTCGTCCAGCCTCTGGTACGTGGTGTAGACCATCGGCGAGAGGCTGGAGAGGGACTGGGTGATCTGATTGAGTTCTGACTGCAAGCCATCTACCTTTGACGACTTTGACTTGCTGGATGCCTTTCCTAGTTTGGCAGAGACCTTCTCATAGTCTTTGAGGGTCTTATCGAGGGATGCCTCCTGCTCGTTGATGCGGCGCCAGGGAATGATGTTGCCGGGGAGATCACGCAGAGGGCCTTCGAAATCCGTCCTGATCAGTGCCGACAGCGTAGAATGGGATGCGGATGTCTGGCATGATATGAGCGCTGTGCCACGAAAGGCTACGTAGCTTTGACTCACCTCTGCGAGCTCGGCAACGAGCGAGTCCCAGACCCTGGCCTCTCCGCTGTTCTTCGCCCAGTCGTTGCCAATCTTGCCGGTGAGGAGGCCCGAGTCTGCGGACTTTGCGAGCTTGGCGAGGGAGTCTGCGTACTGGGCTTCGATGTGTGCGCGCTGCTTGAAGATGTCGGCGAGGGCGGCGAGATGGACGTTGGAGGTGTTGTGGCGCTTCTGGAGGGCGGTGAGGAGGGGGCGGGGGGGTGTGGGCAGGAAGGACTGCACCCAGATGTCGTCCGGGAGGGAGTCGCTCATGGTGCGGATGGTATACCACTAGTAACCATAAGTTAGTTGATTTGTAGTTGATAATAATGGTTACTTCATAGTCACTCCTGCGTACGTAATCACGTCTATGACGCTCACTTCCAACATGTTATCCCTGCTGTTTCTCTGTCCAAGCACAATGAAAGTCTTCGCCATCTCCCTCCTCTCCGTCACCCCCACCGCCCCCGCCCAGGCCACCCTCCTCGGCACCGCCAACGACCTCTCCTCCTTCAGCTTCTACCAGAGGAGTTCCGTCGGCGAGTTCATGTCCTTCTTCACAAAGGTCCGTCCTTCCTCCCTTCCTTGCCCTGCTGACGTTATGCCCTCAGACCGTTGCCGAGAGAACGCCTCCCAACCAGCCCTCGTCTGTCGAAGAGAACAACTACAAGGCCCATGTCTTTGTAACCACCGGCCGAACTCCTGGCAGCCCCGGTCTTGCTGGTACGCCGTCCCTCTGCGCCCTGGCGTCGTCTCACATAGTGTAGCTGTCATGATCACCGACTTGGAGTACCCTCTACGCCCCGCCTTCTCTCTCCTTACCAAGATTCTCGATGAACACACACCCCTTCTCGCCCACGTCCCCAATGCCTCGGCGGCCCCCTCGTTTGGTTCCGCATCTGCCAATGCTTTCGGCGGCAATCCGTCGACTGCTGCTGCGGGTGGGCTCCCCCCCGCGCAGAAGGGCAAGCTTGAGGGAACTCTGGCCATGTACCTGACCAAATACCAGGACCCCAAGCAGGCGGACACGATCATGAAGGTACAGAAGGAGCTCGACGAAACCAAGATTGTTTTGCACAAGACTATCGAGAGTGTCCTGGAGAGAGGAGAGAAGCTCGACAATCTTGTAGAGAGATCGAATGCGCTGTCAGCCCAGAGCAAGATGTTTTACAAGACTGCAAAGAAGGTGCGTGGTGCGATGTATGTCCGATGTGGCTGCTGACTGGGGCATAGCAAAACTCTTGCTGCGTTGTCATGTAGGAATAATTGATAAATATCTTTTGCTGTCAGCTTAATGTACGGTGTGGTGGTACTGTCTGTGAATATGTATAGCAAGTGGAACCATAGAATACCGTGTCCGGACACGATGCCCGCCGGGGCTCGCGTCGCGTTGAGCATTGTCGGCTTGTTCTCTTGATTTTTATTTCTTTTCTCTCTTTCCACCGCACCATGGATCGCTGGCAGCACGCTCGCCGATCAGCACAGGGCGAAGAGTTCGAGCTCCCCCTCACCCCTGGGTCGGCCACCTCGTCCACTGCCGACAGCAAGCCTGCCGACGGCCCCGGCGTATCCAAGTCGCCCTCGCTGGCCCCTTCGCCTACCAGACCACTCGCTGTCAAGAATGGGGCGGGCAAAGGGCCTAGCAAAATCATGGCAAGGGCAGCCATGTTTGAAAATTCAGATGCCAACGCAACTCCGTCATCGAAGAAGGGCGAAGCTCCCAAGAAGCTCAAACCGCCAACGCCAGGAGCCAGCCCAGGGTTCAGGTCAATACCACCTGCCGGAGGGAAAGGGACAGGTCTGACCCCTAGGAAGCTGTCGCCAGAGAAGAAATCTATGGGGCGGGAACCGCTGGTCAAGTCGCCAGCAAAGACGCCTTCGCCCTCAAAGACACCGCTGCCTGCGCCCGTGCCCGAACCGCCAGTGCCCTCGCCAACGATAGAGGCACCTGTAACGGGCGATGTCAGCAAGGCCCAAACAGGGGAAACACCGCCAGTCACGGCAGCTGAGCGATTCTCCGAGATTCCTCTATCAGCCACCATTCCCAAATCTCCCGCTGCGACCGCTTCCAGCTCCCCTGTTGCGACCTCCCCCAAGGATCTCACAACTGCGTCTCCCACCTCCCCTTCCCTTCCCTACCTCCAATCCGACGAGCCAGAAGACAAGGGCACCCTCCGCATTTCTCCCATACCGTCCAAACCTTCCAATCTCCCCGGCATCTCGACAGACTCTGATGTCACACCTCCAGCTAGAGAGAAGGAGAAGGAGAAGGAGAGCAAAGGGTTCTTTGGTTCTGCTCTTGGATTTGGGATGCCGTCGCACGCACAGTCTCGGAAACCATCGGAAGAGTCGTTGTCGACTGATATTACCAGTCCGCCTACGGAGCCTCCTTCGACTTCCGCTGGATGGCGGTCGACAATGACACACCTCCTTACGCGGTCTACCTCAGGCTCCGCCCTCACCCCTCCCATGCCCGCTCGAACTCCTTCCCCGCTAGCTGCTACCTCTTCTACCCTGCCCTCCACATCCCACCCGCCCGTCCCCCAGGCATCTGCTATCACCTCTTCCCCAACTGCTGTCTTGCTTCACGGTCCTGCCGCTACACCAATCAGGGACAGACGGCTCAGCAAGGATATAGTAGCATTGGGGGTGGGCGAGAAGAGCCAAGAGGGCTTTGAAAGGGTGAGAGGAGAGATGGATAGTGCAGCGAGAGAGATGAGGAGGGAGAGAGATGCGAAACGGTCAGAGCAGAGCTCGCCCAGCTCTCCGCGACCTCCCCACTCGCCCATTGCGGAGGCGCCAGAGGGAGCGGGAGAAACAGACTGGACATTCTGGGGATCCGTCGTCCAGTCATATGAGGATATAGCTGTCAATCAACCCAAAGAGTTGTCCAAAGCCATTCAAATGGGCATACCGCCGGTGATCCGTGGCGCTATCTGGCAACTCATGTCCTCCTCCAAGTCTTCTGATCTGGAAGAGTCGTACAAAGCGCTGCTCAAGATGGAATCGAGTCACGAAAAGGCAATCTTGAAGGACTTGAATAGGACGTTTCCGAGTCATAAGGTCTTCAAAGAAGCCGGAGGGCTAGGACAGGAGGGGTTGTTCATGGTGGTCAAGGCATATAGCATGTGAGTTGATTGCAGATTTTGAGGTCGTACTAACAGCTATCCAGATACGATAAAGAAGTTGGCTACACTCAGGGACTTGCGTTCATCGTTGCTGCCCTGCTTCTCAACGTGAGTCACTCCTATACTGGTTTCAGATGGCTGACTCTCTTCAGATGCCTGATGAAGAGGCATTCTGCGTTCTCGTTCGCCTCATGACATCGTACAACCTTCGCTCCCATTACACCGCCGAAATGCAAGGTCTCCAGCTTAGGCTGTTCCAGTTTGATAGGTTGGTGGAGGAAGTATTGCCGCTGGTGCATACGCATTTTGTGAGGAAGGGGGTGAAGAGCAGCATGTATGCTAGTCAATGGTTCATGACTTTGTTCAGTTATCGGTGAGTTTGTTGTTGGTGTGCTGGGCCGATGCTAATGACACAATAGCTTCCCGTTGTCGTTGGTCTACCGGGTGTTGGATATCGTCTTTGCCGAAGGCATCGAAGCCATCTTTCGCTTTTCTCTCGCTCTCTTGAAAAAGTCCGAGGCCAAACTTGTCTCTCTCGAATTTGAACAGATTCTCAACTACCTTCAAACAGACCTCTACGAAGTTTACAAAGATAGTGCACAGGATGAGCCGGCAAAGGGTGGCGAGGATGATGATGGTATGTGGCGGGCTGATGAGTTTGTGACGGATGCCTTTGAGATAAGAATGTGAGTACTTACCCTGCCCTGCCATGGAAGTGAAACTGATGGGGAACAGAACACCGCTCATGCTTGACGCCTATGCATCGGAGTGGGAAGAACAATGTCGGGCAGCAAATCGACATGCCATGGAGGTGGACCATCTCCGAAACATCAATCGTACCTTGAGCGGTCAAGTGTGAGTCTCATGTAGATTGCAAGTCTTTGGCTGATCTAGTGGTGATTGCAGAAAACAACTGGAAGGATCTCTAGCGGCCATGAACCAAGAGCATGTCCATCTTGTTCGACAGCTCGTCATGTCTAAAATCGAAAAGGAAGAGACGGAGAACGAGTTGGTTAGATATAAGATGCTGTCAGTTTAGGCGCACAAATCTCGCGAGGTCTCGCTAACCACGAAACCACGACATTCAGTTATGCCGAAATGGCACACGCCCAGCAAGACGCCCTTTCAGTGCACTCTCGACTGTCCAGTGGCTCAGCTACCACTTCCAAACGCTGATAACGAACCGGACCGACTCGCCAGAGACAAGAGAGAACGGGAGGAGGTTCAACGATGTACACTTATTAGCATTCATTTTTTGGAGGCAAGATTCGTCGCTTTAAACTAGTTGCCGGCTTTTGCATTGACCATGCAGCATGCTTGTGTGCCATCATCTACAAATGTGCGTGCTCGCATCGACGATTTGACGAAAGTCGTGATATGATACATAAGGCAATCACTCGTCGTACAGAAGATCCTTGACCATATACGGCCCATCGAGGAAATAACCCAAACGCCTGTAGTAATCTCTGGTACCGACACCAGAGATGACAGCAATCCTCCCACTGCCGTGCTCCTCTCTCGCAATGCGCTCGGCCTCCTCCATGAGGAGCGTTCCGATACCTTGATGCTGGAATTTCTTGGGGTCTCTTGAGTGGACCGGTGCAGCAGTACCGTAGACATGCTAAATTTGTCAGGCCAATATGTAGTGCAATTATCGAGAAACTCACCAGCTCTCTGACAAGACTGCAACCTCCCTCCATACCGACCAACTCCTTCCTAAACGTTCCTTCTTCGGAACACTTTCTCAGCCTCAACAATCCTACTAGAATATCCGACAGAGGATCCTCATACGACAAGAATGTCTCCCAGCCTCCATTCGCAGCGTAGTCTCGTCGAAGAAGCTCAATGTCGGCAGGCCTCACCCTGTTGTGAATCTCGTGCAGACCGACCTCACGATACCGCACATCCCTACACTCTGCACCAAAGTCCTTCATACGGGCAAGCGCCAATTCTCGAAGGTTTCCATTCTCCACGCCAGATGATACGAGGGGCATGGGAATATCTCGCTGGACTCGATACACTCGCGTCCAAGGCGGCACAAGAGCCATGATACGCGCGACGATGTCGACGAGGGCGTTGGGTGGATAGTTCTTGTATTTGCCAGTCCGCCAGAGCTCGTACAAGCCTGTGCCGCGGATGACCAGAGTTGGGTAGAGTTTGAGACCGTCTGACCGGAAAGCGGGGTTTTCGAAAAATTCTTGGAATTGCCAGATATCACGTTCGGTACCACAATTGGGGAGGTCGGGCATCATATGGGCGACAATCTTGTAGCCAGCATCCTTTGACATGTGGAATGACTCGCTGACTGCACGGACAGTGTGACCTCGGTTGGTATCACGGGCAACATCCTGGAGCGGGATGGTCAGTGGGCGCAAAGGTTCGAAGACAACTGGCGCACCTCATAGACCGATTGAACGCCAATCTCCAGTCTAGTGCATCCGTACCTCAACATTTGGCTCAGGTGGGGTTTCAAGCAGTAATCGGGGCGAGTCTCGATGGTGATGCCGACACACTTGACTTTGCTCTGTTCTGAGAATCTAAAAGCAGATTCAGCAAGAGATTAAAATCACTGGTGGTATACTGACTTGACGGCTTCATCGACATCATCCGTTGTATGTCCACTGAGAGCATTGTGAAGCCCAGCGATGAACTTGTGCCGATAATCTTCTGGCATTGACATGAATGTGCCTCCCATGAGACTATATAGCACGTGAGCACGAGAGCCAGAAGGACGGTGACAAAGGACCTACATGATCTCCACCTTGTCCACACTATGTCCCAGATCTCTGAGCTGGTTCACTCTACCGCGAGCTTGCTCGTAAGGGTCATATCGGGCTCGTATGGCGCGCATGGAAGTTGGCTGTGTCCGATTAGCCTCGTTGTCGGGGAACCCCAAGCGACTCACTTCATAACCAGTGTACGATTGAGTAGAGTACTCAAAATCAGAGTCAGGCCCACCAGGGCAGTAACTGAACGATATGAGTGTGAGGCATTTCACATTGGCTATTGTACACTTACACGCAGATGTTGCCAGTCATGGCGACGTGCGGGCACCGATGGGGCTTGCACATGACGGCAACCACAGCAACACCACTGGCTGTTCTGACAGGCTTGGCCCTCAACCACATCCTCAGCCTATCCTTCCATTCTTCTGGTACAGCGGCGAGAACATCTGTCAATCGGGGGACCGCTTTCAGCGAGTATTTCTTGGAATACTTTGCTCTGATCGAGTTGACGTTTGGAATTTGCTGGGTGGCGGAGCTGTTGTTGGAGTTGTATGCAGTGATGAGGTCGCGAACGACTGCCGAGACACAGAGCAGGTGGAGCTCTGACTGGGACGTGGGCGGGGCAATCATGGCGGATCTCTGTATGCGCAGGAGGATAGAGCGGCAAGGGGCGTTTAGAAACAAAAACAAAATTCAGAATGTTCAAAGCGCGCCGCTCGCCGCCCGCCGCAAGTAAACGGGCGAATGAAATCCGCAACGCTGGTCACCATGCTCGTTAATTCTCTCGTCACCCGGAACTACCCCCAACCATGTCTCTACGGACCATCCCCCTCCCGCTCAAGTCCCTCCCTCGCCACAGAGCCCTCCCGCGCGCCTCTTCAATCACCAGCCGTCACTTGACCACCTCCAAATCCCTCCGATCAGCTGCCCCCTCCGCATTCTCCACCATCAATGCCTCTGAGATCTCCCACTTCTCCAAGCTTTCCTCGCAGTGGTGGAACGAGACTGGCGAGTTTGCTCTTCTGCATCGGATGAATCCTACCCGTGTAGAGTACATCAGGCAAAAAGTGGCTCTGGCGCCTACCGGGAACGAGGAATGGTCATTCGAAACGCGGCATCTGGATGCGCAACGTGAGGCCGGAAAGGGCACTGGGAGATGGCTTGAGGGATTGAGGGTGCTGGATGTGGGATGCGGGGGAGGGCTGCTGTCGGAAAGCCTGGCCAGATTGGGAGGGAGAGTAGTCAGCGTGGACGCCAGTGAAAGCAACATCGGGATCGCAAAGACCCATGCTTCACAAGATCCCTTCCTAGCCGATAAACTCGAAAAGGGAGAGCTAGACTACCGACACAGCACGGCCGAATCACTCAGAGATGCTGGGGAGCAATTTGACGTCGTTTGCTCCATGGAAGTGCTCGAACATGTGGATGAACCGGGAGAATTCATGAAATGTCTGGGGGAAATGGTCAAGGTGAGTCGTATAGCTATATGGCAAACACATTCCATGCTCATCGTATACTGTTAGCCTGGTGGGCATTTGATTCTCTCAACAATCTCAAGAACTCCTCTATCCCAGCTCCTCACTATCACTCTGGCAGAAGACGTCCTCCGATTGGTCACTCCCGGTACCCATACATATCGCAAGTTTGTACGGCCAGAGGAACTACGACGCTTTGTGTACTCTGATATGGGAGGTTTCGGCACTTGGGAGGGAAACGAGGATGCTAGTGATATCAGGGACGGAGAGGTCGGTGAGACGCGAGGAATCATTTATGACCCCTTGAAGGGTGGGTGGAATCTCTGGGGAGGGGTGGAGGGAAGCTGGTTCAAAGACCTGGGAGAGACTTGTAACTACATGTTCTATGCCAAGAAGAGAGTCTAGAGAACAAAATGTGGGTGATCGAATCGGCAAACTCGTCCGAGACGCTTCTTAGCTGATAGAATTATAGCTATATCCGCATTATCAAGAGCAACCTCTACAACAAGTATCATGTGTCACTAAAAGCATATCATAGACAGGTTCTAATTCGTTCATGGGCTGTAATCACATCAAAGAGCATGAAGTCATACCACACTTCATCCGTCAGCGTTCACAAAATAACACTGTCGGTGCTGCCTGTACCAAGTGTCTGTTACATTCATGCATCATATTCACGCTGTGCATTGTTCGGGAGATTATTCCATGCATAGCTAGCTGACAACTGTTCCACGTTCATGCAAAGGGCCGTTATTGCCATGGAGATGATTGTGCGGCTTACCTCCACTCGGGCTTCCGTCGCCGCCATCGTTGACGCCTTGGTCGGTCGACGCGAAAACTGTCCTTCATGAAATTCAGCTCATTTCGGACCCCTCGCTTTTCCATCGAACACAACACTGCCACACTACGGCCGAGCTGTGCCAGAAAGAGCTTCACTCTTTTCAAATCCCTCTGCAGCGCTCAATCCTCTTTTGCTGAACTTGCCATCATGCCTTTGTCCCAAACCCGACCGACACCTCCAAGTGCGGATACATCATATAACCCTCTACAGAGAGCCCACATATTTTCATCACAGGGAACACACATCCTGTCAACAAATGAATGCTCAATGTCAACTCTTCAACAAGCCTTACAATCCTATCGCGAGGCAGTCGGTCTCTATGAAGCGGCATTGGACAGTGCTGCTGGTAGCGAGGGCAGTAATCAGAATGAAGAGAGGACACTCCAGCTTCTGATAGTTCAAATCCAGTAAATGGTGAAAGATTTGGAGAGGAAGTTGTGCTTGACCTCTCAAAAAAATGAGAGAGCAGCAGAAAAAAGAAAACAGACTGGGAATCAATTCTCAAAGGGACTCGTATCTAATGGGCACTCACGCAAGAGCCCTGGGCCATTATGTTCTGGTGAGCTGTGAACAGGACCATCAGCCCAGGACTTATCACTAATATGTCTATACAGTGTCCTGTGTGCCATCTCCACAACACCCACAAACATCTGCTTTTCAACCACCTGTGCATCCTTGTCTCCTGTTCATCCTACTCCTGTTTTCCCCTCTGACCCTATCTCACCTCTACATTCATCATCATCATTTGATAAGACTTCTCCAGAAGACTCATATATACACTTTGGGGCTGCCCCTGACACAAATGATCCATTTAGTCAATCTGGGGCACAACTTGACACAGTGCTGGAGAATATCTCCAATCTGGTGGCTTTCACCAGCATACCATTGGACGTGCCCCCTGTATCAGATCAAGCTGCTCTTAATATGATGAGCGAAAAATCCATAATGGAAAGACATGGGGAGTCTCTGGTCAAACAACCACCCTCTTGTCACGGCCTGCTGGGACGCAGCAGGTGAGGGGACTGGAAAAGGTGTTTTTGGAGGGGAAAAGACCTTTTCGGTATTATCGCATAAGGAAAGAGTAGACAACGAGATATGAATTGAGTATGTACACCGCGCGTCCTTCAACCATCCACACAACTCAGCGCCATGCCACTTCAGGGAATAAGTACGTGTGACAAAGGGAATAAGTATGTGTGACACCTCTCCAGTAGAATCATTATATCTTGTCAAGGATGGGCAGGTGACAACTTCAAGTGCATCTAAGTGCTCACTGAATGATGCAGACAGCCTGTGAGATCCCCCATCAGTATCACATATGCAAAAATACTGATGGGCAATTCTTTAGAAGATCAAACTCAAAGACCCTTGAGGAACTTGAACTTGGAAACATGACTTTGAGGCGCTCTTTGGATCACCTTGCTTCTCATACCAAGTCTGTGGAAGACAGCAACCAGCTCTCCAGATCTCAACTGGAAGAGAGGGAGACTTGTTTAGTAGTGGCATTGCAAGCTATACAAGACGAGGCTGTAAAGGCACACAAGGGACAACAAATGTGGGAAAATCAGATCCTGGCTGGTTTATTAATTCCCCAGAAGTCACAAAAGGCAGAGATGGATCAAGATAGTATTGTGAAGCAAAGTGGGGACACTACTGGTATGCGTTGAATACTCAACTTGTAGTAAAGATGCTTATCAGAAGGAACTCAACAGCACACATGAGAAGAAATTCCAAGATTTGGAAGAGGTAAAGAGTCTCATTCTGGTATCTGAGAGGCAACAAGCTAAAATCAACAAATACAAAGAAAAGGTATTTCCAACACACTTTGTCAATTTGAGACAGTGCTGACCATAGACAGTTGAGACAGTGCTGACCATAGACAGTGATAAACTGCAACACAATGCCCATTTGAAGAAGGAGGGGAATCTTGCAGCAGCACCCATACCTGATCATTCTCTTAGTACTGAAAATAACACAGCTGAGAAAGCTCCTGAGAAATATCCTGAGAAATAAATGCTGTACCATATGATGCCAAGTAGCTACATCATCCTTGCATGTAACTGACTATGCTTTAAATGAGAATGTCAGCATTGCCTATACTTGTGGTCATGTGTTCCTCAGCGGCACCGCGTCATCGGACATTTTCATCAATATACGTACTGTGCCCAAAATGCTTCTGTATGATTATATATTGCAGCTATGCATACAAAATCTTACGACGTGCCAGATGGCCCTGGTGTACATTGCCTCTGACGTTTTTGGGCGCCAGCCTTACCCCGTGCTTGAGCTTTTCGCTTCTTAGTCTCCGCAGCCTCCTCTTCCCTTGTTCTTCTTTCTTCTAGCTCTACACAATGTTCTTCCCAATACTCAGGGTCAAATATTTTTCCTCCTGGGAACCTCTGCGTCTTCTTGTTTTGGCGAGCACTCTGGTCAACTCTGAGCGCATCCTCCAAGCGTTCTACCCTTGCTTCAGATATAGCGAGTTGTGCTACCACGGACTCGTATGCCTTCTGAGTCTTCCACAAGGCATCTGTTGCGTCAAGCTCGCCTCTTCTGACTGCAAGAGCCTGGGAACGTATCATCCTCGTGTTCTGGGGGGTACAGGGGAGCTCTTTCTTCCCTTGGGGGGGCGGAGTAACTTGCTCATCCTCATCAATATCCCACATCTCACGTCAAAGAGGGTAGAGGCCGCTTTTTCGCCATGCATCCCTAGCACGTTTGTCTGAGGCGGTTGCGCGCCAAGCCTTCTGCAGCCAGCCCATAACATGTTCTTCTTCACAGTTTTTTGACGACTTTCAAGCATAAAATTGGAGACAAGTTTTGAATACTCAGACTTGAGGGTGCCAAAGAAGTCAACATCGAGAGGTTGAAACTTGTGGGATAAGTGGGCAGGCAGAAAGATGACCACGATGTTCCTCTCCAAGCAGGCTTTGATAAAAGCTACTTTGTTGTGGAATTCTGCCCCATCAAGAAAGAGTAGACACCGGTCTCGACCGTTTTGGGCACATTCGCAAGTCAATGGGTCAAAGACATGCTCTAGCCACTCCATTTGGACATGACCGTTTGACCATCCCGAGTGAGTGGTCATGGCAAACTGTCAAACACCCTTATCTCTCGTCTTGAACTAATCGGACGAGGTATTCTTGCCTTTGAAGATGACAAGAGGCGGAACAGGGCAAGAATCGGTTCCAATACAGGCCACCGCTGTGATATGTTCCCCAACCGGTGGTGCAAGCTGGCTAACTCGAGCATGGGATTTTGAGCCCACTGTCCGCCTGTTCTGCGTATAGCCAGGATGAAATCCAGACTCATCCATGTTGTACACGTTGCATGGTTTGTATTTCCCGCTGTCCCATATCTCTTTCACCTATATTACACCAATATGGGGTCTATGCATACTGATCTGACTCACTATCTGGTAGAATTCTCTCCTGTTCTTCATTGTATCAGCCTTTTGCCGCTGGCTATCCTGGAACTTGTAAAAACGCGAGCTGAGCGTGTCACTATGACGCTGGATGAAGCGTGACGCCCAGTTCACGCCCAGCTTTTCGCCAGCCAGTGCTTCCCCAAGCTCTTGGACGTGTGACACCCAAAGGTTGGTACCCCGCTTGGAATAATTATTGATTTCCAGGACCAGCTTCCCCTCCTGGGTCTTAGAGAGCTTCCCACACTGGCTATCCGCATTGGAGGGGTGTTTGCCGGATATTCGGTCATGGAGGGTGGAGGGTGGAGGAAGGGACACTGAACTTTCTTGCCACCAACTGTATGCTCTGGTTGGGGTGCGTGATGTGGTGCTCAACAGCTGCTGAGATCAAATTGGCCATTGTCGAGATATGTAACAATAAAGATAATACATGGATGTAGGTGAAATTGTCTGATGACGCGGTGCCGCCGAGGAACACATGACCACAAGTATACTGTGGCAATTGTGTATCTGTTTCATCAGCCTTCTTGATTCTGTTAGTATGACTATTTGTAAGACCTTGTACTGAGAGAGTACAAATGTAAAGGTCAAACTCCACACAGTGGCGATGTGATGCTCAAAGGACAAAGGGATGGTATAAGGTGTAAAGGTTCCTAGCAGATGAACAATTTGCTAAGTCTGAAATGTCATGTTGAAAAGGGAATTAGAGGAGATCAGGGAGGCAAATAAGCTAGACAGGGCAACTAGGGGAAGTTTTAAAAAGGTCACAATCCTGACAGGGGAGCAATTATGCTGTTCTCTATTAGTAAATGGGCTTTGACCTCCAGCCAGTTGTCACATAATCAAGTTTCGGTTGTGAAAATTCATAGGGCAAGCCTCCAAACATATCTTCAACATGTAGCATTGGTGAGTTGTGTCGGGCCACAAATGACTCTCACCTGACCCTCACCGGTTGTCAATGCACCACCGCACCACCAAAGCTCATTCAGAGGATACAAATATCATATTCTGGTGTATTTGGCGATTCTTACAATGGAGCTTGTGTAAACCACCTGTGTCAACACCGTTGGTGAAATGGTATCATGCAACTTTGCCATAGTTGCGGCAAGGGTTCGATTCCCTTACGGTGTATTCCTTTTTGCCTCTTCATTTTCTTGTCCATTTGCCATCAGATAATTACATATGACCAGCTGAGAAGGGAAATAATTACTAGGGAGTGTCATTTCTTGTATTTCAGGTAAAATAGCAATTGCTGGGCTGGCAGCAATCACTGTTCCTCAAATTTGCTATTCAGAATTTTGGGATTGCTAATTAGGGGCCTGATTTATTCACTTTGTGAGGAGCCGCGGCAAAAGCACATATCGCCATTTGCATGACATAGCACACATCTTGTCTTGATTTTGCCATGTCACCGCTG